GAGTGGTTCTCGGTATTTCAGAGTATACTTGTACCAAGTTAGACGCCTAGACTTTGGAAATAAATATATAGCTGAAATAAGCAACCTGCAGTCACACACTAACTTCACAAAAATGTGCTATTCTACGTATCTTTATCCTAATTAGAGTCCTGTTACGCACAGCCTAACATGGGGAAAGGGTGGACTTTTCTCTGAGCATTGGATTAAAACTTCCTAGGCTTGGAAACTGTTCTTCAGTGTTACAGATGTGCTAAAGTTTTTAGATTCCTAGTTTACCATCTGGTGTAGAGGAGAGGGATAAATTCTAAGGTAAATCCTTGGAGGTACAACTTAGAGATAATAATAGGACAATGACAGAAGTGAAACCAGAGTGATCTATAACTAGTAGTTGTGAAATCAGGCCCGCTTTCTGTCTTACTACTTTATCAGATTGCTTCTGAATTGAGAGCAAGCTTTGTAGACAAGAGTTTTGAATTCCGCTACCAGAAATCATGGAGGTTTTTTTTTTTTTTTTTTAAAGTTTTTTTTTTTTTTTTTTTTTTTATTTGACAGACAGATCACAAGTAGGCAGAGAGGCAGGCAGAGAGAGAGACAGGAGGAGGAGGCAGGCTCCCTGCTGAGCAGAGAGCCTGATGCGGGACTCGACCCCAGGACCCTGAGATCATGACCCGAGCCGAAGGCAGAGGCCCCAACCACTGAGCCACCCAGGTGCCCCAATCATGGAGGTTTTTAAGGAAGATGTGCTTGGTAGCAGAATGAATGGTGGACTGGCATGATAAGGGAGAAAGGAGGAGTGAGAACAAGGTGCCAGGAGTTAAAACTAGAGTAGCTGGAGTGGAATTGTTACAAAGAATGTTAAAACTTAAGAAAAAAAAAAGTAAGAATAATAAAATTAAATAAAAAAAAAGGCAAAAACAGGTACGTGTCTTGTGTAAGCCTTTCTGTAATGAAAATATTTTAAATATTTTAAATGTTGTAAAGAAAATATGCTGTGTTCCATGATTGAGAGAAGAATTCTGAAAATACTAAACACCCCCCCCCCCCCCGGTGCCAGCCACTCTTCTACTCACCAAAACACTTGGGATGGGGGAAGTAATGTTTTGCTGTGGGTTTTTTGTGTGTGTGTGTGATTTTGAGAGGGGGCAAAATTCATATATGTACTGTAATAAATAAGATGTATTTACATCTTATTCCAATCCAGAAAGGATTAAGACAGAATGCTTTAGTCACACGTTAAAAACCAGCGAAATATTTTGCATTAAAGGTTGGGTGAAAAGGAAAAATAAGGATAGAGATATAAAGCAGCAAGAAATTAGGGTACAAGTTCAAGTTCTTACATAGTGATAATTGCATTGTTGTAGAGTAGAGAACTTGTTGGATGGCCACCAGTTTCACCCAGAGAATTCATAGAGTATCCTGAAAGTAAAGATAAATCATGTTCATGAGATGGAAAATCTCAGGCACAGGAAAAGCACACGTAGAATGTTCTTCATAGTAAAAACCCCGAAAGAAATTTTAATAAATCACAAATACTGTAGCTCTCTATCTAGTCTGTTTTTTCTTTGTTTTGTGTAATTGTGGGATTTCATTGTTAAAATAGAGTCATGTCTAAAGAAAACTAAATGCTGGTTAAAAAATGACTAGAAAGTGATGGATGGGGCAGATATCTAATGTGTTTGAGAATGGGAGGAAGAAGTGCATTCTTGGGGTTGATAGCTGTGTGGTGTATTGTTCTAGGAGAGGCTCTATAAAGCAGAATCCTTTAAATTACTCAGTATTGAATGTGTATTTTTGTTTTGTTAGAATAGCAAATAAAAGATCCTTAAATTGTTTTATCACTCCACTTGATTTCTAATACTAAAATTGAATGGAAAACTTCACTTTCTCCATTTACAGTCATGGTTAGCTTTTCTACTTGGGACATTTTGGACACTGAAAGTGCATATGGTAGCTTGTAATTTCTAGTCCAGATATTTAAGTTAAAATTAAGCCATTTTTATTGGAGGCACAGGTATCTTGTGACTTTCAGAATTTGTATTTCTTTTCTCTTACTTGATTTTGACTCATTTTTATTTTTTGATAAGTGTTCTTGAATTAGTGTATGTTTTATATATGTACTTGAGTTAGATACATGTTCTGTGTGTATACATGTGTAGACATAGGCTGTATATGTAATTCTTTCCTGAATTAGATGGGGCAAATAAATATGATTTTATTTTAGATTATGTGATGATTTTTTGAATAAAGTAAATAAAAAGCTGTAATTTGCATCTGATTTGTTTCCCCATCAAAATGTTAATGTGGAAACTCCTAGAAATCAACATATTTTTCAAATTAGGGTGAGCAGACTTGGTGTGAATTTAGAAATATGAGTCGGTATCCTAATATTCTGGTGATATTTTTGAAGTAGATAGGACCTTTCCAAGCATTGTTATTTTGTGAAACAGTGGAAAACCTGAATATTTGAGAAAGAAAAACTGGAAAAGAGAACTGAGCCTTAACCTCACAGAGAGTGAGTACTCCTATTTTGTTGATGACCCAACTCAACTGGTAATAGATATAACCCCTTCAGAATGGAATGAATGTAGAGAAATGTATTACTTCCTCAAAACAAAAACCATTCCACTAGAGTGGATTATTTTACCTGAAGTTATGAAAACAAATCCAGTTCACACTTGACTTGAAATCTCGCCTTGCTTGAACCAAGTCTAGCTAGAATGAACTTGTATTTGTTTTCATTTCTGGCTCTACTCATGTTAAAATCATTTATTAAGGTATTCATAATTCTGTGGTAGTCACGAAGGGTTCTAGTTTACTTGGAGAAACTCATATGAAGCAGTGAAAAATATGAGAGAATATAATCACTTTGGGGTATGTGGTAAGTGTGATGTTTTCATTTAATACCTGATATATCTGAAATCAGTATGTATGGTGTGAAGAATTCTCAAATGGTTAGGCAGTTTTGAGGGCTACTTTTTTTTTTTTTTTTTAAAGATTTTATTTATTAGAGCACAAGCAGCTGTAGCGGCAGGGAGAGGGAGAAGGGAGAAGCAGGCTCCCCCCTGAGCGGGGAGCCCAGTGCCATGCGGGGCTGGACCCCAGGACTCTGGGATCATGAGCTGAGCCAAAGGCAGAGGCTTAACCAGCTGAGCCATGCAGCTGGTTGCCTGGTGGCTACCTGGTTGCTGGTGCCCTGAGGGCTACTCCCCCCTCCTTTTTAAAAAGATTTTATTTATTAGAGAGAGCGCATGAGAGGAGAGAGATCAGCAGGAGAAGCAGACTCCCCGAAGAGCAGGGAGCCCCATGTGGGATCCCAGTGTGGGATCCCGGGACTTCAGGATCATGACCTGAGCTGAAGGCAGCTGCTTAACCAACTGAGCCACCCAGGCACCCAAGAACTACCTTTTTGATGTCACTTTTATGGAACCTGATGGTAACTTTATTGACAATATGTACTAACCAAGACATGAATGCATTTTCACTTAGGTTAATTTGTATATTTTAATCATAGAAAATGCTACCTAAATTTGAAAAATAGAGCATTAATGTAAGATATTTAGTCTGAGACAGTGTTTGATGCTCATGTGGACTCCCAGCTCTGGGAATTAGCATAGCCTTTGTATAGCTTTGTAGTTTAGGTTACAGGAGTAGGAGGAAGGATCTAAAATGAATTAATTGCTGCAACAGATAATATATCTGACATATTTATTTAGTAAATGTTACTACAAAACCTGGAGTAAAATTGAGAAAGTGCATAACTAGAGCAGGAAACATTGACCGGAGAATACACAGACCAGTGGTGGACTTGGAAACAAGCGGTGTGAGTTTCTGGGCGTTCTTACTTCCGTGTTGCTCTCAGAAGGACGGATGCCGTCCAGAACACTGTCCGGCAGTCACTGTATAAACCAGAACCCAGCGGGCAGGTATTAAATGCATAATGGAACTTCCATGCATAGGATTCTTGGATTTGGCATATTATTGCTTAAGTAGATTATTGCACCTCAATTATTTTTTTCTCTTCAGTATAAAAAAAATTACATACTTAGAACTTGGAAAGAAAAGTAGGCGTGTGTGTGTGTGTATATAAAACAAACACTTTAACTTTTTAAGGAACAGATATGGGAGAAATAGGTTCCTAGTCCGTTCCTCATTTTGTATGGTATTTGACTTGTTAGTTTTTAAATAATAATTGTGCTACTTATCTTTAGAGCTCTTGTCCATTGACTTACAATTATTTTAACAGAGAATAAGAGACAAGAATGAGTTTCATCAAAAAATACTCGAGTCTAATTTTCTAAAGCGTTTCAAGCATGCCATGCCTTTTTGTGTTTAACTAGTTACAGTAAAATCCCACTGATTGTAAAACATCTGGAATTTCTCTAAAAGTGGGGGAAAACTACTTCTAGATTAGCATCACTGTTAAGTGCCAGTCTCTCACCAGAAGTGTGTAATAAGTTTAAGTGTGTGACTACAGTGCCCCCCATTCTGCAGGTTATCTTTGTTATTTGCCCTGTATTTTATAAATTTTTTTCCCTGTGAGTCAGATACTAAATTCTATTTGTGTAGTCTCTTGTATTGGTTAAATAGTGTGTGTTTTTTTACTTTATTAATTGTAGTGTGTTTATCATTGCTCTAGAAGTAACGATACAACAGATTATGGCTTCTTTTCAAGAAGTAGGTTCTCAGTTCACCGTATTCTAGATTGTGTTTTCTCTCCCAGTGTGTTTGATCTGGGTTCTTACAGCTTATTTAAGTATTTAGTTAATGACAAAGATAAAAGTCCTTGGAGTGGGAAGAGATACAGAGTTTTCTCTTTGGTCACTTGCTTTTGGCTGGTTACTTTTTGTTCTGAGATGTCTTTTGAAAGGAGTCTTTCTGAGTATGGCAGGGAACCAACTGTGTTTAGAAATGCATTTTATTAAAGCAGTTTTTCTAGTCAAATGGTTTGTTTCAAATTGTAGAAATTCTTCGGCAGTAATTTTATCTAATTTTGTTTGTAGTCCAGTTACAACGCAGGGATCACAACAAACACAGCCGCCCCAGAAGCACTATGGCATCACCTCTCCTATCAGCTTAGCAGCCCCCAAGGAGACGGACTGCCTGCTTACACAGAAACTAATTGAGACTCTGAAGCCCTTCGGGGTTTTTGAAGAGGAAGAGGAACTGCAGCGCAGGTGAATACACACATACATATTTTTCTTTTAATTTGTAATTTTTCATCAGTGTAATAAACTAATTTTTTTAAGAGTTTATTTTATTTGACAGAGCGAGAGATCACAGGTAGGCAGAGAAGCAGGCAGAGAGAGAGGGGGAAGCAGGCTCCCTGCTCAACAGAGAGCCCGATGCCAGGGCTCGATCCCAGGACCTTAAGACCATGACCTGAGCTGAAGGCAGAGCCATAACCCACTGAGCCATCCAGGCACCTCAGTAAAGTAATTTTTGAGGCATTATCTACTCAGTCAGAATATTCCCTGAAATCTGTCTTGTATAAGAGCGAAGCCTAGAAACTTTTTTCCTATAGTGAATTTTATTCCCTTTTGATTTTTGATGCTTTTAGTTATTACAGTACAGAATTGTCAGAAGGAAAATTCTTACTCAGCTAAAAGAATGCCTTACCCAGGGTAACAGTGCCTGTAGTAAACTACTGTATACTTTCTGAAAGCTTAAAAACCGGTTAAAATTTAGGGATCCATCTATTGAAAACTGATTTTCATTTTAATTAGTAATGAAACAACTTGATACTTGATTGATATTTGCTCTATCAACAGGATTTTAATTTTGGGAAAATTAAATAACCTGGTAAAAGAGTGGATACGAGAAATCAGTGAAAGCAAGGTAAGGTGACTTATTTGTATATGAAATGATTTGTCAGCTGAGCAGCAGCAGTCTTAAGCTGTTCTTATTAGAGTGAATTTAGAGTCTTTAATGCAAAGTCCGTTTTAGACTATTTGATACCAGAATTAGATTGTTTCTAATTATTTTGAAAGCAGGGAAATCTGAATTCAGTGATTTTTTTTTTTAAGATTTTATTTATTTATTTGACAGAGAGAGATCACAAGTAGGCAGAGAGGCAGGCAGAGAGAGAGAGAGGGAAGCAGGCTCCCTGCTGAGCAGAGAGCCCGATGCGGGACTCGATCTCAGGACCCCGAGATCATGACCTGAGCCGAAGGCAGCGGCTTAACCCACTGAGCCACCCAGGTGCCCCTGAATTCAGTGATTTTATAAATACTTTTTTGTTGCAGTATTTTAAGTTGAAACTCCATAATTACTTAGGCTTCACAGAAATAATAGATAGTGCCTGAAGAGGTGCTTTAAAAATGTATATTAAATATTTGAGAATCTTGTTACCTTTTAAGCAACCTATGACATTGAACAGTTTTTAGGTTTGCAGATAGTAAACTCTCAAACTCAGTATCTCCTTAGTTTTTTATAATATTCTCTGAGTTCCTAAAATTTTATTACGAAAAATCATACATACAGTTGATGAATCCATGACTGGGCTTCCGGTAAAGGAAATGTATTCTTAGAGCTGTGTATGGGATTCATTTGACCCATTTTTAAAAATTGCATAGGGACATCTGGTTGGCTTAGTCTGTAGAGGGTGCAGCTCTTGATCTTGGGGTTGTAAGTTTGAGTCCCATGTTGGGGGTAGAGTTTATATTAAAAAAATTGCTTACATAGTGGTAATTTTCCCAGGCAGTACAAAATACATATTTAATCTATAATACATCTTGAAAAATTGATGGAAAGAGAACCGGGGATTGAAGAAAACTTGAGAGAGGGGTTTAACAAAGAAGAAAGTGTTTCGATTTTAGTCAACTTTATACTTTTTTTTAAAGATTTTTATATATTTATTTATTTGACAAAGAGACAGCGAGAAAGGGAACACAAGCGGGCGGGGGGGGCGCGGCGCGGGGGAGTGGGAGAGGGAGAAGCAGGTTTCCTGCTGAGCAGGGAGCCTGATATGGGGCCTGATCCTAGGACCCTGGGATCATGACCTGAACCGAAGGCAGATGCCTAACAACTGAACCACCCTGGCGTCCCAATATAATATTGTCTTCTTGAAACAGCATATATATATTTTAAGCAACTGATTAAAATAGTGGGAGTGTTCTAAATGGGGAACTCCATGTATTATATGGTTTCTCACTGATAGAATTTCTGATATGAATGAGATTTTGTTTTTTATTTATTTTTAAAGATTTGGGGGGCGGTGCAGAGGGGGAGAGAGAATCTTGGGCATACTCCCTCGGAGCCTGGATGTGGGGCTTGATCCCAGGTCCCTGAGATCATGACCTGAGCTGAAATCAAAAGTTGGACCCTTAACCAATTGTGCCAGCAGGCGCCCCATGAATGAGATTTCATAAAGGAAGGTTTTTTTTTGAGCTGAGCAGCAGATGTCCAAGTTAAAGTATTTTTTACTCATTTATTGAACTTAGTGTTTCCTTAACCTTCTGTGGGAAATAGTTTTTTTTTTTTTTAAAGATTTTATTTATTTATTTGTCAGAGAGAGAGAGAGAGAGTGCGCACAAGCAGTCAGAGGGGGAGAGAGAAGCAGGCTCCCTGCTGAGCAAGGAGCCCGATGCGGGACCAATGCGGGACTCGATGCAGGACTCGTTCCAGGACTCTGGGATCATGACCTGAGCCTAAGGCATCGGCTTAACCAACTGAGCCACCCAGGCATCCCAGAAAATACAGCTTTGTTTTAATGGCATTTTTTAAATGTTTAAGTTTAAAGCCATAGTCAAGTAGACAAAGCCAAAACTTAGATTTATTTATTGTGAAACATGAATACTGCCTCATGGATAGTTTGTTTCAGGTATTTACTTCAGTAAGTTTCTTTAACCAGTAATTCTTGATACAGTTCTTCCTGCTGGTTTTACTGCCATAAGAAAATGTGTTAGGATGAGTGAAAGTAGTACTTATTCCTGTTGGGTTTTATCAATGTCCTTTCCACTATAGCCTAACCATTAGTAGTGAGTTGGTTAGAGAAAGTTTTGATCTTTTGTATCTGCCTTTTGTAGAGAGAATTTCTTCTCCAGATGGTTAGTTTCAGGACTTGATACAGGATTTCTTGATGTTGACACTGTTGATATTTTGGGAGCAGATAGTTCTTTTTTAGGGTGCTCTCATGTGCATCATAAGATTTTAAGCAAAACACATCCCTGACCCCTTTTTACTAGATTTACTAGTAAACCTGCCCTCTCTCTCTAGATGATGACTAAAAATGTCTCCAGACATTCCTGTATGTTCCTGGAGGAGTGGAGTCATCCCTTGTTGAGAAGCAGTGATTAATAGATAGTTCCAGTTAATTTATTTATGGTATGGGGGGGGAGTTATGTAAGATTTGAATTTTTCTTTTTTTAATTTTATTTATTTATTTGACAGAGAGATCACAAGTAGGCAGAGAGGCAGGCGGGGGGGGTGGGGGGGAAGCAGGCTCCCATGCTGCACAGAGAGGCTGATGCGGGGCTGGATCCCAGAACCCTGAGATCTTGAGCTGAAGGCAGAGGCTTAACCCACTGAGCCACCCAGGTGCCCCTAAGATTTGATTTTTACTTTAGTTGTCTTGTTTGCTAATATTCTGAGACTAAATGAAAAAAAAAAGATTTTGCAATTTATTTTTCTGTGACCTGAATTAAAGAATCTTAATTTTCTGGGTTAAAATTACTAAAATAGCTATAAGCATATAAATGTGTAAACGTGCTAATAATAGTAGCCATAAGTGACATGTGGCTGTTTCAGTTTAAATGAACTAAAATATCTAGCTCCTCAGCCAAGCTAGCTTTATTTCACTATATACACATTACATATGTATTTCACACCGTAGTAGCTGCTATATTGGACAGTTTAGAGTTCACTTATCCAAAAGATCTGTTTTACTAGAAAAGTTCATAGATCATTGTTCTCAGGTAGTTTGTTCCTAACTCCCTTTGTAGACCTATTCCTGCAACATCTTCCTGGCTTAATTTACATAACCGGGCCATCTTTGCAAGTGAGATTTTTAGATTTCTAAATGTAGGAAGACAAATGTAATATATCTACATGGTCCTTTTTCTGTAAGTGTTGATTAAATGTGCCTTCAAAAAACAAGGGAGTCCCTGAATCTTTACAATTTATTTTTAAGGTTTTTGTAGCATGAAGTAACACTTTCATTTATGTTACTTGAGGAGGACTGATGGGTGTTTTGGTACTGAATAAGATGTTACTGAGGAATTAGAAAGTGAAGAGAAACATTGACCAAGCACACATTAAAATTGTTTTTTGTTTGGACAGGTACCATCCTTACCACCAGTGGTATTAAGTACTCACCATAGTACTTTAAAGTAGTACCAGGGCCAGGAAGATGATTTTTTTTTTTTTTTTTAAGATTTTATTTATTTATTTGTCAGAGCACAAGCAGGCAGAGTGGCAGGCAGAGACAGGCTCCCTGCTGGACAAGAAGCCCGATGTGGGACTCGATCCCAGGACCCTGGGATCATGACCTGAGCCGAAGGCAGTGGCTTAACCGACTGAGCCAACCAGGCGTCCTGGGAAGATGAGTTTTAAATGCTTGCCTTTATCCTTGTTCTTGGTGTTTCTATTCTAAGAAACTATCAGTAAGTTTTAGTTCTGTTCAAAGTAATCCCACCAAAGCCTTTGGAAATCTCAACTATTATGTAGCAGTATTGGCCTTAAAGTCACTTTTGATATGGTAAAATTATATCTGGTGTACTATGGAATATTCAGTATAATCATTGAATGTAATTTTTTTAAGCCATCAAATACGTTTTTGTTTTATTCTAACATTCATGATATTTGCAGCATCTTGGTCATAAATAAAATCTGCTTCTAACTTTGATCCAATGGAATCGCATGTTCTCCTGTACGATAGTCCTCTTTTATAGCAGTTTCCAGAAATGTGGCAAAATTCTAAAACAGTATGGGTAACTAAGTCACATTCACTAAAATTGGAATTTGCTTTTATTTCAGAATTGGTTGCTACCTGAAGACCTGGTATTTGTAGAGCTGACAGAGTTTGTTTACCCTCCATGAATTTGCACTGAATTTGAATTCTTGGGTTTTTAAAAATTATTATATAGTGCTGTTTAAAATAATTTCTTTTGTGCTCCACTGATAAACTATCCCATTTCTTGTTTGTTTAACAGAATCTTCCACAATCTGTAATTGAAAATGTTGGAGGAAAAATTTTTACGTTTGGATCTTACAGATTAGGAGTACATACAAAAGGTAAATACTGTTTTAATTATCTTGCGAGGGAATACCCTTTTTAGTTCTTAAAAATCATAATGACACATTCATCACAGTTACTTGAGTGAGTTTGCCTGGAAGATAGAGTACTTCAGGGAGCCTAAAGTTAAGAAGATAAAAACAGATAACCTGCACTGACCAATGTGGTACTAAGTAAATTTAAAAAATCAGTTCTGTGCAGCATAGGCAATATAGTCAGTAGTATGGTAGTGATCTTGTGTAGTAAGAGGTGGTAACTGTACTTTGAGAGTGGTGAGCAGAGCATAGTGTATAGACTTGTGCAGTCACTGTGTTGTACACCGGAGGCTAACATAACATTGAACATCAACTATACTTAAGCTGAAGAAGTTAAGTGAGTGCCTCAGTGGAAGTAGCCACGTTTTCATTGTCCATTAGTAACATGGTGGCTAGTGGCTACTGTGCTGCAAAGTGCTGAGAGAACTTACTTCCATTGGAGAGTTCTTTGGACAGTGTGCTGTTCTCTGTATCAGTTCCTCTACCTAAAGAATATCAGATCAGGAAATCAGAAAAAAATGAATGCAGACCTTTTAAAAAGACCTGTGGATTTTCTTTTCCCCATGCTTTTTTTAATAGTTGTAAAATACATTTGAGCAAAAACCAGACCACAATAGTGTATGTGCAGTCATTGATGATTACTATTAGTTTTCTTGCTTATGCTTGTACTTACACAAAGAAATACACAGTGAGAATGGTACCATGGCAGAGAACATTTTATTGGACTTTTTTGCTGGGCACTGAGCTGATAGTAAGCTTTTGGTCTTCATTATCTCATTTATTCCTCAGTTCTCTTATTCTCATGTAACAAATAGATGTCTGAGGCTTACACAAACAGTAGGCATGAACAGTTTCTCTCAGCCATCTCTTGGCAGAACTAGCACTCTTCAACCATTAACCACTGGCTTCTTTGTTAAAAGTGTCTGCCAGGATAGTGTTCTCTTTGTCCTGGCACCCTTTCTTCTCCCTATCTCCCACTGCTCTGTGCCAGTAGTAGTTAGGCATTTGCTTTTGATGTGTCCTGTGCGCTGTACAGTTTCTTCCTTTCACATATATGCTAAATATACAGCCTTCAGAGTAGTGCCTTAGCTATTGAGTCTTCTAGGGAAATGACTATGTTGACCTGATTCCACATTGATCTCTCCCTTTTATGATTCCAGTTATTGATTTAAGTCATCTTTGTTGTGATCCCCCTATGCGCTTGAGGCTTGACTCCTGTCAAGCACTAAATTAGTAACAAGTATCTTACCATGGTATGCCTTTTTGCATTCTTGCCAGTCATCCTTTTGGGAGTTTATTCTGTAGGCCCCATTTAGGGGCCAGATAGAGGCTTACAAGCACTACTCACCTAATGTGGGGGGGGGGCTTTGTTACGGTTTGCTAATGAATATGGCTGTGACTAGTAACATCAAAATGTTGGGTGTCTTCTTGAATAGTTCCCTCTCTTTAACATAAAAGTCCTATCTGAGTTACCTTCCTCTGACTCCCAGGTCACCTGGACCACTACAAAGAGAGGTTATTGCAGGAAAAACGATACCCCGTCAATTAGGATCCTGTTTTTCCTATACTGTAACGTTTTTTAAGGGGAAGGGCACATTTTTAGAGGCTCACCGGTATAATGTTAGCAGATTCTCAACATCAAGTACTGCCATGATAAGATGCAAAATAATTTTATCGTAATAGTAATTCGTGGTTGATGGGCTTAATTTTTTTTAGGTGCCGATATTGATGCGTTGTGTGTTGCACCAAGACATGTTGATCGAAGTGACTTTTTCACCTCATTCTATGATAAGTTGAAATTACAGGAAGAAGTAAAAGATTTAAGAGTGCGTAAATGTTTGGGGTGAGAGGGGAGGAGTTACAAAAATTAGTGAAATAGAGCAAATTTTCTGGTATAGCCGTCATTTATTGAACTCTTGCAGTTTGCCAGATCCTTTCAAGGGCTTAACGTGTATGTTTGCATTTTATTCTTTACGAGCCTAAAATAAATTTCATCTCATGTTCAGAGTAGGAGATCAGGGAAAAAGAATAAGTATTAAGCAGTGTTGCTACAGTTACATCTGAGTGGCAGAAATCAAGGCTTTAACATCTGATTTAAGAGCCTAGTGTCTTAAAGCTAGTTGTTGAGAACCTAGTCTGTGTCAGGCATTATGCTAATATGTTTAAACAATTTCAAAGGTCTCATTCACTTAAAAGAACTAAAACTAGTATAGGTCTGATATGTAGTTTCAGAGACACTGAACTCCCTTAATCTTCTTACAGGCTGTTGAAGAGGCATTCGTACCAGTTATCAAACTGTGTTTTGATGGGATAGAGGTAAGGTGTAATTCAAGTAGTTCTTGCTCTGTATAATGTTGATTGTTGTAGGTTAAAAATTATTTTACTTGGTAAGTTGCTGTGATACTATTTTTTTTAATAGAAGTGACTCTGTTCTTTGTAGAAAATCAGTTCTAGTCTTTTTTATTTTTTAAAATTTTTATTTATTTTTTTAGAGGGAGTGGGAAGGGAGAGCGAGAATCCTAGGGTGGCTTCACGCTGGGCTCAGTCTCATGACTCTGAGATCATGACGTGGGCCGAAATCAAGAGTTGGATGCTTAACCGACTGAGCCACCCAGACACCCCAGTTTTAGTGGTTTTTTGTTTTTGTTTTTTTTAAAGAGATTTATTAGAGAGAGAATGAGAGGGATGCGCTGTGGGGGGGCGGAGAGGGAGGGAATCTCAGACAGACTCCTTGCTGAGCACAGAGCCTAGAGTGGGGCTCGATCCCGGGATCCTGAGATCAAGAGTCTGATGCTCAACCAGCTGAGCCACCGAGGTGCCCCTTAATCTTTTCTCAAAGAGCCTCAGGAAATTAAGAGCTAAAATATAGGCAGAAATAACTACACATTTACTGTGAAATGCTTTTACAAAACTGTTCACTCCGCAGGTTTTCCATTTGCAAATTTAAATACTTTTAGTCTTATTAAGGTAATAATATATTTTTGCAAATGGAACTTTGCCTTGACTTCATTTAAATTAAATATTTAAGAAGTTGAGAGAAAACTGACCTGATAGTGTGTATGCGGAGGTACTTTCTGGTAGGGGAGGATTTACAGAGTTGGGATTCTTTAGACGATACTCACTTCTGTCTGCTGTTTTCCACGTTTGTAGTGAAGGCATTTGGAACAAAGGTGTAAGACAGTGAAACAACTTCAGCTGCTTACATTATTTCTGTCATATATGATAGTTCTGGAAAGTCACTGGTGAAGATTGTAAAATTTGGGGAACTGGAAGAATAATCCTTCATTGTTCTGCAAAAAAGGCGACTTCTAATTAATTGCCGCATAAAGATGGCCAGCTTCGTCGTCTTGAAAAGTCGAATGATTAACCTTAATTAAGTAGACGTAAAATGGTACATTTAATGAAGGTTTGTTCAGGTAGATTTTGCTGTCACTGTTTAAATAAATATAAAACAATGTGTAAGGTAAGGCAGTTTCCTGCTTTCCTCAAAAGAACATTACCAAAGGGGGGGGTTGTTTTTTTGTGAAAGACCCGACTCAATTGTGTGAACTTTTCGGGATGGAGATGAAAGCCAGATGGTTACTTGAAATATTTAATGTGTTAGTTTTCTGTCCATACATTGTATATAAAAGTGACACGATTTTAGGGAATGTCTTTACATTAGAACATTTTAAAAATTACTTTATCCTAACGTAAAATGTCAATATCTGTTGCCTTGCTTTTTGAGTTACGTGTTTTTGTAGCACATAATCTTTATTTCTGTCTAAATTCGGGGAGCAACTGAACTTTGGAATCTGTTTCATTTGAATATTTATGCTATACTACAAGTTAATTATTTATAAAAGCGTATAGCTGTTTTTCTGTTTTGTAGGTGCATGTTTTAAATGATTTTTCACAATAAGCTCTTTTAAAATACTGCCTTCTAAAGTGATTTTCTAAAAAGGCTTATTTCTGGCAGCATCCAGAGTTTTGGAACCATAAAATCATACCCTCAGGAATAATGACCAAATCGATACTAAGTTTGTTCGTACTCTCACCTTCCCTTGGAAAAAAGGGAGGGGTGCCTGTGTGGCTCCGTTGGTTAAGTGTATGACTCTTCTCACCTCTGGTCTTGACCTCAGGGTCAAGAGTTCTGGGCTCTGCATTGGGCTCCATGCCCAGCGACGAGTTGGGGAGGAGTTTTGTCCGTTGCATCTATAAGCCTTCAAAATTAGCTAGTGTTTATTTTTGTTTTGTTTCTATTTAATCAAAAGTAAGTTAGGGAAATCTACTCTAATGGTAGATATGTGAGTTCTTGAATACAGGGAACCCCCTTTTTATTGGCAGGTATATTTGGGCTAAATAAAAGGATGTTGGCCTTATAGTTGGGCACCTTTTAATATATAATCAGTTCACAATTTATGTATATAGAAAACTAAACAGTTAATTTTAAATAGTCTGGTAGTAGATGCATTACCAAATGTAGTATATCCAGTAGATGCATTAGTAAGCATGATTAAAATGAGAGGTATTTATTCAAGTTCTCTTTCATAATGCAGTGTTTTAACATCTGATTAAAATACCTTTGATAAAAATCAGTGGACTTTGGACTTTTGGAGGCACTGTCATATTTATAGTTGATGAAAAGATCCTGGATTTAAAGTGTTTTCTTTGTTAAAGAAATGCCTTAAAAATAGTCCGATGGGTATGGAATATTAAGTTTTGTTTTTGTTTTAGATTGATATTTTGTTTGCAAGATTAGCACTGCAGACTATTCCAGAAGACTTGGACTTACGAGATGACAGTCTGCTTAAGAATTTAGACATAAGATGCATAAGAAGTCTTAATGGTATGTTAAAACCTACTTCTATTTGAATAGTAACAGTTTTTGTCAAATACAAAATAGGTTTTACCTCAGATTTAAAATGGAACTTTTTGTAGCCCTGCTGTTTACCCATAGTGAGTCAGATAAAATATGCTTTACTTAATAGTTAAGACTGCAGAGGGGTATATGGTAATTTATTTTACTCGTATCTTGCACTGTTACTTCTTTTCTTCCTGGGGCATTTAAAGACTGACATTTGTACTCTATTACTAGTGGTTTAGGTTTCACTGCATAACCCTAATTAATTGTGATCGTATACTCTTGATAACCTTTTCAGCTGTTGTGTTTAAAGGGGTTACTTTTGAACACTATTGTATTTACATTGCTATTACCCTGTTCTCAAAGAACAAGTCTTGCAAACTTAAGTGGATTAAACCCTTGTCAGTATATCTGGATGGGAAGAAGTTTTAATTATACAGTCAAAGTTTGAGATTAGGCAGATTGTTTGGTTTACAGTAATATTTGTGATAGGAGATTAAAGTTTTAGATTTTTTATTTGCCTTTTTATTCGACTAACGTTACTGATTCAGTGAAATAGTTTTTATTTAAGTTTGACATCGGTCTTAGAAAATTGAAAAGAAACATTATCATTGAACTTTTGATGATTTAACGTTCTGTTTTTTCACTCCCTGTTAATCAGGTTGCAGGGTAACCGATGAAATTTTACATCTAGTACCAAACATTGACAACTTCAGGTTAACTCTGAGAGCTATCAAACTGTGGGCCAAACGTGAGTTCAGCATTTGTTGGTTAGCTTATTAAAAATGTTTCAACTGTTGTTCAACACTAACTTTTCTTTTTGCTTTTCCCTTATCAACAGGCCACAACATCTATTCCAATATATTAGGTTTCCTCGGTGGTGTTTCCTGGGCTATGCTAGTAGCAAGAACTTGCCAGCTTTATCCAAATGCAATAGCATCAACTCTTGTACATAAATTTTTCTTGGTATTTTCTAAATGGTATGTGTTTAGATTATATTAAAATAAAATTGATTGTAGACACTGAAGTTTAGTCTTATTTCTATGACATTTCTGCAGCTGGTTTCAGATTCAAATTTTAGTTCATGATGTAGCCATTTAGGTAGCCTTGGGGAGATCATGTTGTATATAAAATGGCAGACCTAAATTCCTTTCCTTTTCCCTAGCTTTCCCAGGATAGTAAGGCAGGTGCTTTTTTTGTGCTTCCGTATCCTCTAAATAAACCCAGAATTTTAGCCGTCATGCCTGCTAAAAGCCAGTGAATTTATATCCGTTTTAGGAAGTATGGATGGAACTACATATACCACTGCTTTTACTCTTGGGGCTATTCTGAATCTATAGGTCGATTCTTGGAAATTTTTTTTGGCTTTCAGCTGCCCATTTATCTCTGGTAAAATATTAAAAATGTATATAAAAAGCTTCTAAGAATAACTATAAATGTGTTAAAAAAATAGCAATTTTTTCATCCCTTTGAGATTAGCTGTTAACCCAGGAGAGTTTTTTTAAAGCTTCTTCATTTCAGCATGTTCACATTTGTCAATCGTTATTTCTTTTAAGAAAAGTAAGCTAAAAAAATGATTGCCAATTCATATTAGTTGCTTTGGCCTAAAAGATTAGGTTTCTTGGTTTGTAATCAAATTGATCTTTGAGATCGGTCTTCCCACTCAGTACCTGCCAAACCTAGTACCTCCTCCCTCTGCAAAAATAGTTCTCTTTAGTTATTTTACACAAATTTAAGTTACTAGAGATTTATAATCTAGAACTGTGCCCCACTTTTCAGTACACATTCTGTTATAGACAGATCTGATAGTGCTTAATCATATATCAGTTTTGATGAGATGGACTAAAGAGTGTCATAATTTCTGTAATGCTACACGTACATAGTAAGTAATTCTAAGAAGCTAAGCTTGCTACGAAGGATGGCAAATATTTTTGAATTTTTAATCTCTTTGCTAAAGAACTGAGGTAGCTAACTCGTAGAATGCGTCTTGAAAACAATGTTATTCACGTCACAAAGTTTCATCACACATATTCATGTTAGAACCTTTAGGTTGTGAGATAAAATGTCCCTAATCCGTCTCTAATTATTCATATTCCTTTGCCGAAATGAGTTAACTTTTTCACCCTTACTTGTCTTTGGACGTAGCCAGTATGAGGATAGGACTTTTGTCTTTCAGGAGGGGTTTATCCTGTTGAAGGTTGAGGTGAACACATCGGATGTCTTGGGATAGTATTTTCTAATTTAAATAGTGCTTTTTCAGTTCTTTGAGAGTCAGAGAAGATGTGTGACTTACCAGCCTGAGAAAGCTACCAGATGGTTTAAGTTGATTTCGTAGTTAGAGGAAAAGTATTTGAAGTAGTCTTAACATCAACAGATTAGGAGTAAAAGATGATAAATATCAAGAGGGCAGAATGAATGAAGAAGGATCACATTCACAAATGCTGTATGTTTAACAAAATACGTTTAGATGGTAATATCCAATAGTCTTATCAAGTGCTACAATCTTTTTAAACAGGGAATGGCCAAATCCAGTGCTATTGAAACAGCCTGAAGAATGCAATCTTAATTTGCCTGTATGGGACCCAAGGGTTAGTGTATTATTTTTTCCCCTACAAATTCGCACTGTGCAATAACGAGTAAAAATCATCTGCATAATCTTCAGGGAGACCTCCCATCCTTTATGTATGAGTGGACATGTCCGTATTACACTTTCTTTTAGATAACCTCAACTATAATTGTCCTCTGATGTGAGAAGCATAATTATGTACCCTGTAAACTCCTTTTAATTGTACATAGTTTATAATATCAAGTTCACTAACATTTTAATTTATTCTATATAGAACTACCTTGTAAGTCAAAGTTTGTGTGGGCATTTGTGCTTAAAAAAAATAAAAGGATACTCAAAATCCCTGTATTTTTTTATTTGATCTAAATATTCTGTTAAAATTGGGTTGTGGTAGGAAAACTGTTTAACATTTACATGTGGCAAATAACTTCTGAGCAGTATCACTCTAATTACTATGATGTAATTGTAAAAATGGGTTTGGATATTTCAGATTACAAAAACCTGGTTGGATATTTCAGATTACAAAAACCTGGCTTCTGTTCTGCTTTTGGGGAACCACTTATGCAGTTTAGATGTTAACAACATGCACTTTATTAATTGATAAAAGAAATAGAGGTTTCAGTAAGGCTTTTAGGTCTATAAAATTCTATTTTTCTCCAATAATTTCCTATTTTATTACAATATTGAAAATTATGACCGTTTTAAGTCTGTTAATTATATCAAGCTATCTGTTTTCAAGTTTTCCAAACCTCAGTCATTTAATTTTGGAAGGATGTGAATTGATAGTTTCCTTTGTGGAAATATGTCCGTTATCATGAGTATACAGGTAAAGATAAGTTACTAAGTAATTTCATTTTTTCTTAAAATGATAACACAGATAATATAGCCTCAGCATGTTTTGAGAAGCTTATACTTCCTATAAGTTAATGATATATTAAAAACTATGTTTCCATTTTGTTTAAAATTTGTTTTGCACAGAACACTATTTAGCATGACATTTTTGAAAAGTGTAATTGTGTGTGCATCCCCATTTCTGTTGTTGAAAAAAGAAAAACTAAGCATGAATAGATGCTCAGCTAGAACCTTTTTTGCTTGGCAGGCACACTGTTTCTCGTAAGGTTGCCAAAATAGTCATGCCCAAATGACCGAAGCAGACCTTTAGTTGAGACCAAATCTCGGATTCTGTGAAGAATTCCTATAAAAACAATGTCGCCTTACATGGTTTTTCTTTCTCAACTCCAGCTATGAATGACATAAAATGTAATCATTGGTTCAGTTTAACAAGGGGTAAAAAGTCCAAGTGTCTGTTGCATATGTACTTGAAGAAACTGATTGGCTGTTGTTGTATGTAGGTAAACCCCAGTGATAGGTACCATCTTATGCCTATAATTACACCAGCATACCCACAACAGAACTCCACGTACAATGTGTCCGTTTCAACACGGATGGTCATGGTTGAGGAGTTTAAACAAGGTAAGTGTTTATCCTTATGCTCTCCTTTATACACGAAGGATCTACATACCATTGTAGACCCAGTAGTTGGCTATGCAGTTTAAAATGAAGAAAGCAGTCACTGAAGTGGGTTTTGGTGTTTAGATTACAGTATGTATTTGAGAATTGACTTGAAAAACTCAGTTTTTATCCTTTGAGGCAAATTATTTTTTATTATAGACTAGAAAGTTAACCAATTTAAAGCTCTCCCCTTAGGGTGGCCCTTTATGGGCTACTTTTAGTGCTATGCGGTTGCCTTGTAAAGTTTTAAAATGATACCAGCTTGTCTCCACTGGTGACAAAAGAGATGCTTTTAGCAAACTATATACTTTGAGTAGGATTGGGGCCAGAATGCCTTTTACTTGGAAGAACCTGTAAACTTTCTGAATCCCAGCAGTACTGTTCCAATTTCATTGCCAAAAATGGTCTTTGAGGGAAGTAGCTGGAGCAGGATTATTTGATTTGATTGATAATAGTCGTGGAAAGAGAAGTAGCTGTACCACTACCAACTTCAAACTTAGGAGTGTAAAATTCTTTTCTCTTCATGGGAGAATGTTGCTTAGAAACATCAGGAAGCTTGTTTTTAGAGAGGCCAGAATCAGAGCTTATGGGAAGTTTTTCTTTCTTGGTTAACTACAGTGCTTCACTTTTTGGAGAGAGCCATCCTATGAGCATGGCATTGAGAGTAACGCTAATTTACCAGAAATCTGGCTCTCAAAAACTCCTCCACCTTCTTGAGAAGTGTTTATGTGAGAGTCTCTATGTTCTAAGGTCATAGACTGAAATTGCTATTTGTTAAAGTTACGATTTTAGGATTATAGTGAATGCATGTGGTATGTTTAAGATCTTTAAAATTCTAGATTGTTAGACCGAAGCATGCCAACATTCTAATATGTTTTTAATTTAGGTCTTGCTATCACAGATGAAATTTTGCTGAGTAAGGCAGAGTGGTCCAAACTTTTTGAAGCTCCAAACTTCTTTCAAAAGTACAAGTATGTATTTTAAGGCATGTCAGACATGTTGCTCTCTTAAGTAATGGTTTAATGGTAGCATATGTGACATCTCTTCTTGCTAGACTAATGTAGTTTTTAATTTTCCTTTAAACATCTCCCATAGGATTTTCCTAACTGTCACAGAGGGTGTACTGTTTTTAGTAAACCCTTTATTTTTCCTTTGTTGAGGTGAAGTGTAGCCCCTATAGTTTGTTGCCTGGTGTAACCGAACTACATTTGTAGCAACGTTAGTTCTGTAGGCGTCTTTAAGTCATCACCAGAACACTCCATCCATATGCCTTGGCGGAGGAGTGAGCAGTTAAAATCTGTAGTTACTGTTCTCTCTCAGGAAACGAAGTATTTTGCAAGTTCTGGAAACTTACCATTGAGATTCTATATAACCATAGGCAGATCTAATAAAATGTGGACATAGAGTCAGTGAAGTGTTTCCATTAGTTATAGCCTATGATTGGCCTACCATTTTCCCCGAATGTTAATAAAGCCCCTCAGATAGTTCTACAAATAATTTTCTTGGAATCTAAGTGGGTGTAATATTTTTTACGAACGGTTTTAATATAATGATTTCATACCTTAGTACAGGATAAAAGCCTGATTGTGTTGGTTTTGATGAAAATTGTAAGTTATAATAAATCTTACTTTTTAAAAAAAAATGGACTTGCACTTTTATTTGCCCTGAGCTGAAAACTTGCCAAAGTCCCACTTAAAATTTTTTTCTTTAATGCTTGAAACTTTCCTGACCATTTGATCTTGTGTTGGATTGTGTTTTGTAATAATCTAAGCAAGATTGCTTTATGCTATTTCCCCAATTAAAAACAAGAATGATGACCTTCATGATGTCTCTGTGTTTTGTTTCTGTATCTTTTGCATGAAAAAGCAATATGGAGCCAGCTTAATTGTTGTGTTCTGGGAGCACGGCGTTGTCAGTAAATATTTAAATAGCATAACATTGAATGCTCTTGTTTATTACTTACTCCCCATAAGTTGTGTTTTTCCATTTGGCGGATAACTTTTTTTGTTGTTTTTTATTTTAACCGATGTTGAGGAAGTACCTTTGAACATTTAAACTAATAAACACATATTCTGATATTTAAGACTACAACATCAAAGTATGTAATTGCTTATGGAGAATAAGGAAGAAACTGGTTTTTTAGAAAAATACCAGCATCTCTTAATACCTGAGAATCAAAGACTAAGCTAGAGTCATTCTTTTTCCTGTCTCACTTTCTCATAGGACTAAGGTGGGTAGAAAGAAGTTTTTGAAAGTACTCAAGTGGCTTCCTTCACTTGAAAGATTAATTATTGAAATTGAAACCTTGATAGTGTCATCTGTTTGAATACATTTGCATTACCAGAACTTCGAAGGGTTCTTTTTTGAACCTTGTTTAATCTTTAGTCTTTTAGAAGCTTTAAGTTGTCCTTTATGCCAAATAGTACTTATAAAGTCCTCAGTGGGCTGAATGAAGGATCATAGATTATTGTCTTTAGTGAGTTCTCTTGAAACAAATCATTTTAGGTGATCAAAAACAACTTCACAAGCATGATTAGGTTTAAGGAGGCAGCAACAAATAGAGGAAATTGTATCATAAAATTTTTTAAGTTTTAGCTGTGAGTCCTGAGAAAGCAGATTTGAAAATGTGACAGTAAGGGGCTAGTTTTATCTATATCAAATCTTTTTTATATTTTTAACTTCTCCAAAAATGTTCCTCTCTATAAATACCTAGTGCTTACTATCATTAGAATGTAGAGGTAGTCATAGATTTGAATTTTTCTTTTAACATATCAAATGTAGTACCCCCCAGATCGGCTGTACAACTGAATTGAAATCCTTTGTTTTCTCTTGAGTCTAAGTTGGTTAAGCCTTGTTTGAAGTATGTCCTGAAAGTAGTGCCATTTGTTAAATATTAGATTTTAAATTGTAATATACCTACCTGTCATTCTTAGAAGGGAGGGAAGCATGGGAAAATTTCATTTTCTTAAAAAAGCAGACAAGTCATCTTCCAGAAGACCTCAGTGTTCCTTGAGAAAAAGGGGTAACATTGCTTTGTGCAATTTTAAATAACTATAAGAAGACATTTTTCATGTTTTTCCTTTAAGATAATTCAGGTTGACACGTAGCCGTAAAATCATCATTGACCTAGGAAATGTGAATACTTACTTCAGGTATTCCATTTCACTAGGAAAAAGAGGAAGGAAAGGTAATAGCAAGAGGCCAGCATGTTTTCTAAGGTATAAAATTATTCATGATTTCAAGGAATATGTGTGAATAGATGAATTTAGCCTTAAAATGTTTTAAAAACTTAAAATACTGAACTTTAATTCTTGGGCCCCGAGTTGCTTTCAAGGATTTTTCTCTAAGATAATTTTTTCTCTAAGATAATTAAAATTATCTAAGATAATTTTTCAGTGCACATATTTGAGCTATAATCTACCCAGGTAAAATATTAATGTGATGAAATGGCCAGGAAACCTGCTTACGTACTGTTTTTTGGGTAAATAAGGTATTTATTAGGTTATTAGGTAATAAAAGCTGCTAAATTGTTCTTAAGAATTTTTAAATAGGTTTTAATTCATTAGAGATTTATTTTTATAGTAAAAATTTTTATTGGAAACTGGAGATCTTTAAATTTGGGGGAAAGTATGACTTGCATTAAGACTTGAGAGTGTCTCCTGAAGGCATTTGAGTATCTTGAGCAAATAAATGATGGTGGCAGTTGGAAATTGGAGATCACATTTTTTGGCATAGCAATAAAACATATGTAGTCTAAATTTAGAAATACTTCTTGGTCTCTCTGTTTTCTGATAGGGACCTTAGGAATTGAATACCAGTTCTGGTTTTTAAAACTTAACAAATTTGGTTATTTTGTTTTCAGTTGGTATTTTGGTTTCAGTTTCTTAGCCGGATGAGTATTTGTTTTATAAGTGGATTCCTAATGGCAGGTTGTTTCTATTAAACTTAATTGTATTTTATATATCCTTTTTTGCTTAAAATTGCTTAAATGTGGCTGAGTAAAGGACAAAACCACACCCCCCAGGCCTCCCTCATTACAATAAGTACCAAAGGTGAACATTTTAAGCTTCAAAACTTTAAACTTTGAATACCACCAAAATTATGTTCAAATGGATTGTATGTTTTGCCTTTGTAAATAGTGAACATTGTGCATCATTTGTTGAAGACTCAGGTGGTGATTAAGAACATCCATTTAAATAGTGTGGTAAAAGAGTAGTTTAGAGACTGAGAGACTTTTGTCCCTGTCCTAGGTGAATGCAGACAACTTTGCTTTTTGTGCACATGCCTGCTTTTTATAGTTTGTTGTCTCTCATTGTAAGTTGTCACGCTTCTGTCAGAGAGCTCTTCTCCATTTTCCTCCCCACCCCCGACCTGCCCAGTCTGCTCAGGTTGCTGACTGAGCTTGTGAGGATTTTAGTGCATTTAAGAGAATTTAAGGGCTCTGAGAGTGGGTTTCCGTGTTCGTAAAATGCATGAGCTTTTAGTGCTTTTATGTGACTTTTATTAACTTCTATTTATTTGAGCCATCTGTGTTTGTTCTGTATATTTGGTTTGATCCAAATAATGCTGAACAGATTTAAACTGGTGGTAAGGGAAGTATTGGTCTATACGGATTTGAGCTGCATATTCACATATATGTCTACATGTTTTCGTATTTATACATACTACCTCTGTTACCTTGTTGATAAATACTTGAAGTTAGATCATTTGAGCTTCACTTTTTCCCTGCCAGTAAGAGGCATTACCCTGTGCTACAGATGACGTACATAAACAAGTCTCACTTGGGTTACGTAGTTAGGAAGAATCATAACCGTTTTTAAAGTACTTAATGAGAGTAAATAATAAGTAATCAAATGGACTATTTTAAGGAAGAATGGTTAAAAAATGCTTTAACTTGCCAAATTTCCACTGTCCCTAACCTAAACATCTTCTCTCTCTCTCTCTCTCTCTTTTTTAATGGCTAATTTGAACTGGGGTTATTAGTTTTTTTCAGACATTTGGTTTTGGTCCAAAACCTTATTTATAATATGTGAAAGATAAGGGTTTCAGCCTTTTTTTTTTTTTTTAAAGAATTAACTAATTTAAAAATTTCCATCGTGCTCTGGTATTTAAGACTAGTGCCCATACTGTCCATTTGCTTTTTTTGTGAGGTAGTTTCTGGTAAGAAGTTTGGCTTCTCGCACCTCAAAAATGGGTTCTGTGGAAGAGTACGTTGGACTGGACTTTTTTAATATCATAAAATTGCATGAATTATATTTTAGTTCTAAATAGTTTGTTTTAAAAAGACTTAAATTTTTAGCATTTGGTTATGATGGCATTTTATAAAATGAAAACTTGCCTTTTCTCTAATTTAATGGAATTGGATTCTGCATAAAAATCAGATTTCTTCTTTGCTCTCATGTTAGTCATGTCTGCTTTTTAATAGAAATTTATGGTGTTATTTGAAAAAAATCATGAGGCCTGTCTTTAGTATTCAGTTTAATTTTTGCTACCTATTAATTTGAGTAAAAAGCATGGTGTGTTTGAACTGTTTTTGAGCTTACTGATGTAATATGTATAATTAGTGATCTTGTTTTTGTGGCTAGAGACTTGGTGCATTATTTCTGTTAAAAAAACTTTGTTTTAATAGATTATATTTTAGTGAGCAGCTTATAGAGATAAAATACTCCACCGGAGTCTTTGAACAAACTATCAGTTAATGTTTGTTTATTGTTCTTGAACTAAGCTGCTTTGGGATAATTTATAAAATCACTCTTTTTCAGAACAACTAAACCCACCAATAGTTAGAAACGAGGAATTGAGCTTTTAGGATTATATGTACATCTTAAGATTGCAGTCCCCCTTGCTAAACTGATACTGATCTAGAACTGTTCACAAAACTATTACATTATGGTGTTAATATCCAGCACAAAGCAGTTAAATAAAATAAATAGCATGTTGTCTTTATCTCCAAAGGCATTATATTGTACTTCTAGCAAGTGCACCAACAGAAAAACAACGCCTAGAATGGTGAGTATAAGATTAGACTTTACAGAGAAAATAAGCAAAAATCAGATAGCTTCAGAACACAGCAGATGGGAGAAAGCTTGTCCTCCCATTCAGTCTGGTTTTATCCATAAATGGAACTTTCCTACTTGTAGCAAAGTGTAGGCATTTGGGGATTCATACACAACTGTTTTTTGTTTCCCTTATGGACATCCATATATTATTAACTATATTTAAAGTTCTTTGTTTTAGCTTACTGATTTTTTTCTTTTAAATATTTGCAGGAATGTCTTTTGTAATCTTCTTAGTTTGAAATGTGGCTTGATTATCCTTCCTCAGTTTTGCTTCAGCATTTTTGTTTAGAGCCTAAGACTGGTTTTATCTATGTGAGTTCATATGGTTGAACTGCCCTCACATGTATTTAAGTATCATCTTCATTTTACTGCTTGGTGTAAATGTATTTGACTTTGTGCATTTTATTTTATTTTTTAAATTAACCAGAACTTTCATTAATACTAAGTGACATTTGTTCAGGGTGGGCTTGGTGGAATCAAAAATCCGAATCCTGGTTGGCAGTTTGGAGAAGAATGAATTTATTACACTGGCGCATGTGAATCCCCAGTCATTTCCAGCACCCAAAGAAAATCCTGACAAGTAAGCAGTCTTCTAATTTCATCTAGTTTCCTTCTCTCCTTTTTAACTTGTGCTCATAGAAGCTTAGGCAGTTTTTAATAACTAGAGTCACCATTCTGTTGATCATATATGGCACAAAACCAATTTGAGATTAGTAGATTAGGTTTTCCAGATTGGAAACAGGAGAAAAATTATTTCTTGAGAAAAATCAATATTAAAATACTTTTCTCTGATAATAGTCTAATGATATACCTATTAACTAATTAGAGTTCAAATGATGCATATCTGCCTTTTAGCATTTCTTGAAACTTCTCCCCCGTGGTATACAGTGGTCATCAGAACAGCTGCTATCCCAGATGTGTCTTGCTTTTCATCTTAATTTTTTGAAAGAGAGAATATGCTTTCAGTTTACCTTGCAAAAATCTGATTTGTGTTAGATTCTGGAACACTGGGAAGATCTGTTAATAAAAGGCTCCCATTATTCTTTTAAGGGTCTTTCAATTTCTGGTTCAGTTCCTGTATTATTATTTACTTGAGATTCTACTTTGCCTATATTTCATTGCATTTGGAAGGTGAAAGGAGTTAAAAAAGATAAAGTAGCATTAAAGAAAGATTGAAAAATGTAGGAGAACCGATCGTTTGAGATTTTGTGACAGTGGTATGGCCATTACTCTGATTTGTTGATAGAGATTATTTTCTTTTGCAGTCCCGTAAAAGTTGTTATGTGAGCTTTTTTATCACTTTTTGTTGCTGCAGTCTTAATTACTACAAGACTGATCCATTCAGCACATAGATTATTGATTGTTCACAAGTACCTGAATCACCCATTGTTCCTACTATATTGTGCTGTAGTCAAATTACTTTCATGTCCTCTTTCTTCTTTCTCTTTTCTAAAAAAAGATTTATTTGTTTTAGAGAGAGAGAGAGAAAGAGAGAGAGCAGGGGTCAGGGGGAAAAGGAGCACAGGGAGAGGGAGAGAGAAACCCAAGCAGACTCTTTGCTGAGTGCAGAGCCCAGCGCAGGCCTCAGTCCTGTGACCCATGAGATCACAACCTGAGCCCGAACCAATAGATGCTCAAACCAACTGCACCACCTAGGCACCCCTCATGCCACCTTTTCAACTGAGTTTTAAAATTTTAAGGATTATATGTTAAGTTCTAGTTAAAATTTTAGTCTAGAATACTCTTTCTTTCTTTCAGATTTTTCTAAAATGCATTATTCCTTTTCCTTTGTTAGTTTGAACATAATTTTGTTGTGCCTTTCGTACTTGGGATCATCATTAACATTGGCTGTCAGTACCCTGTGTCTATAGTCATAGGGATATGAAGGACAGGCATTGTGGGGGGGTAGTTTTGATGGAATTTTGGTTTAGAACTTCACTTAGTTTGCTGACACATTTGTATTCCAAGTTCTTCTGCATACCTCAGGTTGTCAACCACATTGATAACATTTTCATGAAGTCTTGATAAAATAGTAACACTTTTCTTACTTTGCAGGGAAGAATTTCGCACGATGTGGGTGATTGGGTTAGTGTTTAAAAAAACAGAAAACTCAGAAAATCTCAGTGTTGATCTCACCTATGATATTCAGTCTTTCACAGATACAGGTATATCTCTCCTTGGATGATCCAAACACTTAACTTGCATATTTTAATTTGTCTTCATGTGTACCATAGTAATATTTGCAATAACTGTTAATTTACTTGGGAAAATTAAACAGTGATTATCAGAATAATCGTAATGTTTTGGATTAGTTATTAGTTTCAGTAATGTCTAATGTATAAAGGGGTTTTTTTTTTGTATTATAGCTTTAAAGTTAAGTAGGACCATTTTAATTTGTTCACAGTTATTTTTGAAGTTAGAAGAGAATTTGATTTTGTAGAAGACTGAGTCTGTGTCTGACTGCCTCAGTAATCTTGAAGCTTAGCCATTGATAAAGCTAGACTTCTGGTGATGTGAGGAAATTTTATTCTTGGTGTCAAATATATAGACTCAAGTGTTGATTCACAGGTAGAGTATCGGTGATTAGAGCTACATTTCAGATTGACCTATACCCTGAGAGAGAGAACAGAGATAGAATAGTTTATCTAAAGAACAAATGGGTGTAGTTCACAGAAGCAAAGGCTATACACAGATGTACAACTTTTCAAGGGAATGGTAACTATGTATAGAGACAGAGATGAATATGCGGGTGTGGCGACTAGAAGGCGGTTGCACTGTGTGTGGGATCACTAGCAGTGTGCCATCCGGGAGCTGCCTTTGGCGGTGTGGGTGCTGTCTGTTGTGATTCTGACCATCAGCAGCCTTGCTGTTGGTGATACAGAAGCAGTTTAAGTTTTCAGATGAAACAAAATGAACTTTAAATGAGACCCATGGTAGTTGCCTTCTTGGAGAATTCAGATTAAAAATACTCTGTTTTTATGAAAAATTGAGTTGATTACTCTCAAATAATTGGTAAGTGGGTTTTTCATTTTTAGGAATATAAGTGGCATAATACACAGTTCTTGATGAGGAACACTGGGAACACTGAAGGATATTTAGTGTCCCTAGCAAGTAGTAACCCTTAATAACTGACAACAAAAACACTCATACAGATTTTTTTAGGATGTGATTTGGAAGGTGGTAACTACATTGCTGAACACCGCAGAAGTGTTTTTTTCCAGAGTAAAAATTCTGATGTCAACTTGAACTATAAACTAAGAAATCGTGTAGATATACTTGAATTAGAAAATTTGTTTTGTGCATTTCATCCTCAATTTTTTATCAAAGATTGTACTAATGAACCATCAGGATTTTCAGGGAATTTTTATTTTGGGAGGGAAGTAAGTGTTTAGTTGTCCTGGATCTTGAAACATTTTAATGGAATACTTTGTGGGATTTTCATCTACCTTTCTTTCTTTCTTTCTTTCTTTCTTTTTTTTTTTTTTAAGATTTTATTAGAGCGTGAGTGAGTGTGCACAACCCCGCACAAGCAGGGGGTAGGGGCAAAGGGAGAGGGAAAAGCAGGCTCCCCGCTGACCAGAGAGCCCCATGTGGGGCTCCATCCCAGCACCCTGAGGTTACGACCTGAGTGGAAGGCAGATGCTTAAATGATTGAGCCACCCAGGCTCCCCCTTTGTGGGATTTTTTCTTTTTTTTTTTTTTAATTATTTTTTAAGAATTCAATTAACATATAATGTATTATTGGTTTCAGAGGTAGAGATTAGTGATCAGTCTTACATCACACCCAGTGCTCATTACATCACATGCCCTCCTTAGTGTCCATCACCCAGTTAGCCCATCCCCCCCACCCTTCTCCCCTCCAGCAATCCTGTTTGTTTCTTATGCTTAAGAGTTTCTTATGGTTTGTCTCCCTCTATCATTTTGTCTTGTTTTATTTTTTCCTCTCTTCCCGCATGGTCCTCTGTGTTGTTCCTAAATTCCACATATCTGCGAGATCATGGATAACTGTCTTAATTTCATATGATTGAATTACTTTGCTTAGCATAACACCCTCTAGTTTCATCCACATTGTTGGAGATGGTGAGATTTTTTTTTTTGATGACCAAGTAGTATTCCATTGAATATATATACCACATCTTCTTTATCCATTCATCTGTTGACGGACATCTGGGCTCTTTTCCATAGTTTGGCTCTTGTGGACATTGCTGCTATAAACACTGGGCTGCACATGCCCCTTCAGATCACTACATCTGTATCTTTCAGGAATACCCAAAAGTGCAATTGTTGGGTCTCGGGTAGCTCTGTTTTCAACCTTTTGAGGAACCTCCATGTTGTTTTCAGGAGTGGCTATACCAGCTTGCATTCTTTGTGGGATTTTCTAATAGAACATTTAATATGTTCATTACTCAAATTCTTACTTCCAGTCTCTTCCAACTTCTCTTCAGATCTTTTTGATCTCAGGTATTGGCAGCTATATCCCTGTAGTTGTTCAGGCTAGAAATCTTAGAGTCCTCCTTGACTCCTGCTTTTCTCATAATTTGATGATGAATCCTTTTGCCTCTACTTTTAGTATCCATTGAGATTCCTGCTACTAATTGCTATCTGCTGCTTTCCCACTAGTCCAAGCCATTTATCATTGTTCTGTTGTATTACTCTCATTAACTACAGTTTCCTTGGCCTGTCCTAGCCCAGCTACTAATGGGATAATGGTTATTCTCAGCCAGCATACGAAATGATATTAAGCCAGATCATGTCTTGCCTGCTTAAAAACTATAATGGCTACCATTCTCATTTGGAAAGAAGTTCAAGTCCTTCCTTACTGTGGTTTGCAAGCTTTTACCTAATCTGGACTTCTCATTATGTCTCTGGCCTCATTTCCTGTTGTAAGTTTAAAATCCTTTATCCATATGTCTTGGGGCCAGAAAGGTAATAAAGTTAGTAAGTAATATTCCTTGTAGGGCTTGGAGCAACATTTGGTAGTCAGTGACAGTTAGCTTTCTTCAGGGAACTGTTTTGGATTCACATTAAGCAAAGGTAGAGACCATATAGCCACAAATAGGTTAGATCAGGGTTTGTTGTTACCAGATGAGTTTTGGTGCCAATTTTGTGAAGAACTTATGTTTTGGGAGCTTTTGGGATTTCTGGAATTGCTCTTAAGGGATTATGGATTTTGATTTTTTTCTTCTCTCCAATGGCCTTTTTGTTGTTCTTCAAACATCCCAGACATGCTCTCAACTGAGGACATTTTGTCTTTGACCTTGGATCTCCCTAGAATGCAGTTCCATCAGTTATCTTTGCTTACTTCACTTTGATTTCAGTCTCCGCTCTGATGTCCTCTCAGTTTCTACGCTGAGCTTCTTGTTTTCTTCCCTGCTCAGTTTTTTTCCATAACACTATCATCATTTGATATGAATTATTTTTTACTTTGTCGTTTCCTGTTTATTGTATTGTCCCTACTAGAATGTAGACTTGAAGTTCTTTTGGTCTCTTATTCTCTACTGTATCCCCAATGCCCAGAACAGTGTGACAGTATAGGTGCTCAATAAATAATTTGTCATATGACTGAGTGAATGAATTTTTCCATTTGGGGATTTTCTGGAACTTACTTGGATGAATTTATTTTTAGCATTTTCTTTTTGTGCCTGTGACCTCTGTTACTACAATAGAAGATGGTGAATACTTAAAGTTTTATCCTGCACATTCTTGAAAAGGTATCTTTGGGTTTAGTCAGTAAGCTTGACTTTTGCTGCATTTGTTACATAATTGGGCTAGAATTTTAAGTAGTGGTAGCACAAAAGGGTATGAAGAAGCCCTTTTCCCCCCCAAAATTCTGCTGTTTCTTAGAGTTCCTCTTTAAAGTTATTATTTTAAGAGTAATTAACTGGAAGAGTTAGTATACTTTGTGCTTTTATTCATTCTGTAGACCTCGTAGTATAAAAGGTACTTGAGAGTTTGATTAGGCAATGGATTATGTCAGATGAGAGGTAATTTTGGCCTGATCGTTTTATGCACAGGATTGATAGAAAGTGATCCTTACTTAGAATAGCTTATCCTGGTTTAACTGTCTTTGTTAAAATGTTTCTATTTCTTGTAACAATTTCCTAATTGTGTAGTTTATAGGCAAGCAATAAACAGCAAGATGTTTGAGGTGGACATGAAAATTGCTGCAATGCATGTAAAAAGAAAGCAACTCCATCAGCTACTACCTAGTCATGTTCTTCAGAAGAAGAAAAAGGTAAATTTAGAAAGTACTTACAAAAGCATTACTAGCATGATGTTTTTACTGTGTCCAGCCTATCCCTACTTCAGCATTTAGACTCCGTTTAAGGCATGCTTGAAGTAGATCACAGCATTTTAAAAATCTGTTACAGGGAGCAGTCCCATTATGTGAAACCTTGCTCCCAGTCGTGTTTCTTGCACATACTTGGAGACCTCAGACAGACTAGTAGTGATGCTTCCTGTCCTTATTTTACATAGGCTAATAGTCTTTTTCAGAGTCTTCTGTTTTTATCCATTTAATACCCACCTCAGTAGCTAATTTCCTTTCCTTTAAAAAGTAAATTAGGTAACATGTGGATAAATTACATGACTTTTTATAAAATGGCCTTGTTTTATTAAGAGTATAGATGTGTATTATTGAAAAATTAAGTTATTGAATATAAAGATCACAAACAGAGGTGACCAGAATTAATGTTTTATAGCATGTCGTTCTGGTAATAGTGCTTCCTGTCAAATAACTTACAGCCATATTTTTCTTTTATTTATTTATTTACTGACTTCCTTATTACATTTTTTCTTTAAATAACTATAAAGGACATATTTTTCTTATTTAAACTTACTGTAAAGGACATACTAGAATTTTAGTGCAGAGATGACAGTTACATTTTTACTTTATGTGATTTCAAGAATAGGTGGCTAATTTCTATAATGGAATATACATTGCAGTGAAAATGAATGGGTTAGAGCTACATATATTAGTATGTTCAGTTAAAAAGTTCTGATGAATATGTATTATTTAATAATTTTATAATTTTAATTTTACAAGTTTAAAAAATGTAAAACAATGTATTATTTAAGAGAATATGAAAGAAAAGTATAGCATATAGTATGATATAGGCATCTAAATCAAAGAGAAGAATTTTGGAGTAGATAAGCTGGTTCAGTTTCAGTTCCACTGCTTCCCTGCTGTGACTTGGGCCACTTGTATAATCAACATCATGTTCTGGATTTGCTTCTCTAAAATTAAGATAATATTCCTCATTAGATATTTTGTGAGGATGAAATGAGTTAATACCTGTAGAAAGTGGTTTCGACTAGTGCTTAGCACATAGCAAATGCTCGTATTTGTTTCTGTTGCCATCACCATAACTTGGGGGTAGAGGTACTTGCTTTTTTAGTCTGGTCTAAAATGCAGTTTTAAAAGGCACTTTTGTTTTTAAAGTAACTTGGTACATTAAAGCCTTTATGTGACTTGTTTTGTTCTCATCCTGATGCTTTTGTGAGTTAACTAAATAATCTAGAAAAGTGGCAAAAAGTACTGTTCTTTTCTCAAGCCATTTTATTTATTTGTAATAAAATATACATAAAGTTTGCCATTGAATAATTTTATTTTTAAACTAAAATATCAAGCCAGACATTTGTCTTCTGATTGTCCCTTGGTGTTATTAACGAGTTTAAGCAACCATACTTAAATGTGTCTTTACTCCATGTAAAAGTATATAAACATTTTGTGTGTTTTCAGAAGTCAATGTAAATAGATTGTTATGTTCTTTGAAAACATCTATTTATGTCTGAGGTAATTAGATTTTCCAGAACCCTTTATTCTCCGATTACCTTTTAAAACCCCTATTCACATGGTATTGTTGATATTTGAAACAACAAAAGTATAGTTTAAATAAATTTTATTTTTATTCTATTTCTTAAGGTATTACCTATCTAAATATAATCTTCTAGAAACAAAAAGGATTATTAGCATTCAGAAATAACTTACTTAGTCTAAACTTTGTTATTTATCAAATAAAGCTTAACTGTACTCTCATCACCCAGTAATAGCTACTTTTCACATTCCAGTGTGTATTTCTACATAGTCTCTTGGTGCACATATGTAATCACATATCATATGTATTTTTAAAAGGTTTTTGATGGTACATGCCCTTTTGTGACCTGCTTTTTGGGTGTTTATTATGTGTCCAAATTATATTACATTACAGATATGATGTGGCTGCCTAGTATTTCTTTGTGTGGCTATAGTATGACTATATCTGTACTTTATTTGACATCATGTGGATTATTTCTAAGTTGCCACTAGTAAAAAAACACTTTCTTGTCTTTAGAAGTAGTATCTAGAAATCTAGATCCATGAATCTTTTCTTAGACTCTTCTTGATTACTTCCTTTTATTAACTGCTTTTTATTTGCAAAGCACTGTATGAATATTTTTCTATGTTTTTAATGATACGACAACCCACAGGTATTGTCTAATAGAAGAAACCAAGTGGTTAATAAATTCGCCCATGGTTGTATAATAGGAGATGTGAATTCGACCTAGGTTTCAGTGCATGTGTGTTTATTTCTCTTTGTAGTATGTTCTGTCATTATTTATCTTTTATTAGAAAGTGTGGATAGATCATTTATGGTATCTTGGTATTGAAGTCTCTCGTGCCAAATTTGGTATAGACACAGGCAAAGCAGAGCAACTGTTTTGTGTTCAAACCAGCCAGTTAAAACCTTCAGGTTCACAGATCATCCTCAGCAGTGGCCTGTTGTCTCACAGATGTTTGATCACCTGGGCAGGCAGGTAACTATGTAGATTTAGTGTAATTTAGTTACTGTGAACTGGTGGAGAATGAAATTGGTAGCATTTTTGCATAGGAAAGAAGCTCATTAGAAAGTTCTTTTCACAACTGACTTCATAAACATGTGGCATTACTTTCTCTTCTCTCCATGCTGCTAGGTCTCATCTTCCCCATTTGATTAATATTGATTTATGTACAAAAGTAATGTCTGTAGTGCTAGATCAAAGAATGTCTTGTCATTTGGGGAACTGGAGCACACACATACACACAGAGACACACACACATATGGGAAATGGGTTTTTGTCAACAATGCAGTCGTTTCCATTAAAATGTTTCTGTAGGTAAGGGGAGCACCAAGGCTAAAAAGTATTCTGGAAAAAAAAAGCTGAAGAAATCAATTTGATATCGCAGTACTATTGATTGTAGAAACGGAAACTAAGTTCTTTAAAAATCATGCTTTATTTGGTTTTCCTATATTAAGTAACATGTTGAGTGCTTTGATTTTTGAGAAGCAGGACTAGCATTAGGATTTACATGTGGATATTAGGTTTCACTTTCAGGAAGTTATTTCTGCTGTTTCTATTTTCACAGGATAATTTATACTATTAGATGTACTGTGTTAAAATTCTAAGTTGGCAGGCAGAGCACCCGAAATTCTTTCTTTTGAGAGAGCCTCATTTATTTATAGATATTTAGAAGTGGTACTATGCTGTACTTATTTGATAATTTTTTTTGATCTTACATAATTTTATGTTCATTGTAGAATAATTAGAAATTGGTCACAGTCCCCAAAGCCAGAGATATTCATTGCTGGTACTGGCTTTATCATTAAGACTTTTTTCCTTCTATGTGTATGTGTGTGTACATATTTATAGTTGTCTGATTAAGATCCATGTGTTTTCACATTATAGTGCTTTCTGGTGTGCAGTGTATCTTGTGGAGAATGTGTACGTTTAATTAGCATTCCTTTCTCCTTTTTTCTCCCATGGAAGAATTGTAGTGTGTGTAGTCAGCCCTCTTAAAAGTCAGAAGGTGTGCATCTGCGAAATCTTCACCTTCTATTACAAGTCAGCAGGACTCGTCGGAGTTTTCACGCACTTACTGATTTATGCCGTGTCGTAGGAATCATTTATCAAAGTAAAAGATGTTCGTGTTTCAGAGATGTGGATAAACTATATTTGACTAAATATTTTATTAATCGCAGCATTCAACAGAAGGTGTCAGATTGGCGCCTCTGAACGACAGCAGCCTCGACTTGTCTATGGACAGTGACAACAGCATGTCTGTGCCTTCACCTACGAGTGCTGTGAGGACCAGTCCGCTGAACAGTTCGGGCAGCTCTCAGGGGTAAGGGAGTGCAGGGTGAGGCGGACTGGCTCTTCGCTAATGCGTTTGATGAGTCCTCTCGTTAGAGTCGTCTCTTGCGCATGTTATTTTTATTCCTTCTCATTCTTTAAAGATAGCAATTAAACTGATTTGGGGGGAAAGTAATTCTTTTAATCCTACTGTGTCATACTTGTACTCCGTTTTTGAGACAGGTGTATCGTAATTCAGCTGTGGGTGAATGTTAGCGCTGTACTCCCTCAGATTTCACATATAGGTGGTCCCTGACTAACATGGTTTGACTTAAGATGTTTTGACTTCACAGCGGTGTAAAAGCAGTCCACAGTCCGCAGAAACCACAATTTGAAGTCTGAATTTTGACCTTTTCTAGGGTAGCAGTACACACCACCGTACGATAGTCTTTTGTGGTACCTGGCACAGCAGTGAGCCTTAGCTCCCAGTCAGCCCTGCGCTCCCAGGGTCAGCGGCCACTACGCCCGCAACCATTCTGCACCCCTGCGGCCATTCGGTTTTCCCCTCTTAGTACAATATTCAGTAAATTACAGGAGGTAGTTAACACTTTGTTATAAAACAGGCTTTGCGTTAGGTGGTTTTGCCCAATTGTAGGCTAATGAGAGTGTCCAGAGCATGTTTAAGGTAGGCTCGCTAAGCTGTGATGTTTGGTGGTTATGTGTATTAAATGCATTTTTGACTTAAGGTATTTTCAGTTTATGGTGGATTTAACTGGATGTAACACTATCTTAAGAAAGATCTGTATTGAGGCTTCTCCTGCCTCCAGGTAACTGTATGGTGCTAAGGAGAATGGACAAGAGGGACAAAATCGCCTTTCTGTCCTGGGGCTGCTTACATCTGTATAGCTGGGGAGCAGATGTGTGGACATACTGGGGGTCTTCTAAGGAAGGTGAAGGTCTTTGTGGGCTGCTTTTAATTACAGGAAACTTTTTTTTTTTTAAAGAATTAAGTGTCTTTAAAATTATTTAACACAGCTAAACATTTTTGTTAACGAAAGAAATAACATGGCTATGGTGGCAAGAACTAGAACACAAAGAGCTGTATTTATGTTTAATCTTCTGTAAATTTTTCCAGTGTATCCTTGTAGAGTCTTTTTTATTTTTAATGGAAATACTAGGTTACCTTCAAAGGGATTTGTATAAAAGCCTTTTGTATTTTGAGTTCATGCACATGTATGTAAAATAGTAACTTCAGAGTAATGAAGTAAGGAACTAAGTAAGTAACTGCAGAAGCTTAAACAACGGTAGTTTCCTATGTAATACAGAGTAACATCTGTAAATAAGACTTCTGGATTTTAAGTTTGTAATTGTATATTTGCTTAGCATATTTTGAGTATTTATTATGCACTAACCATTTTGCCAGCTCTTTCTGGTTTTCTTTCTGCATCTGTGGTGGTGCTCTGGCCAGCTCTCCCTTTCTGTTTAGATCATTAGATGTGTGTGCCTTTGAGGATGCTCTTGTCCTGGCTCAGTATTCTCCCTGGGGGAGTGGGATCATCTGCGCTTATTGACTTCATTTACTTCTGTGTACCAGTGAACGCCAAAACTTTTTTTTTTAAGATTTATTTATTTGGGAAAGCATGAATGGGAGGGACAGAGAGAAAGGAAGAGTGAGAATCCAGCAGACCCGTGCTGAGCACAGAGCCCGAAATAGGGCTCAATCCCAGGGCCCCAAGATCATGACCTGAGCTGAAACCAAGTGATGGACACTTAAATCGACTGAGCCATCCGGGCGCCCCTGTACTCCAAAGCTTTAATAAGCTGATAGTCCTGGTTAAATGCAGATGTCTTGTAGGCACCAAAAGTTGAAGTCCTTTCTTGCCGCCACCTTGTCAGGGCGTCATTGTGCCACAGTTGCAGAGGCCAGCTGTATCTGAGGGAGTGAGAATAACCAGAGGACTTTGTGCTTTTATTTTTCTTTCAAGGGGTAATTAAAATGAGATTATTTAACTGCGATAGGATTTATTTGAGACAAAAAAGTTGAAGAGATAGAGTAAAGAATGGATTATTTCAGTTTCCGGAAATGACAGGAGGGAGTAGGATCCAGAACATAGAAGAGGAAGGATGGCTTTGAAAGCCTTTGTTGTTTATCTGGGCCACTGGGTGGTCTTTTAGGGTGTCACGAACCCTTAGAAATTTATTTCTGTTTCTTAGACCATCTTATTTATAGCCTTTGACAGGATTTTCTTAAACCTCAGATCCATTAAGTCTTTTCCCCTAAATCAGATACAGATTGTTTTTAAAACTGTCCTGTTTAATAGGCTAGTCACTAGCCAAATTTAAATGTGGTGATTTAAATTTATTAATATTAAATAAAATACTCAGTTTCTCACCAGCCGTATATCAAGTGCAGAGTAGCTGCATCTGTATGGTGACTACCGTAGTGGATAGCACAGCTGTGAGACATTGTTCCAGAGGGTTCTGTGGGACAGCACTGCTTTAGAGTGAGCGCTTTGGGATGTTGGTCATATTTATCAAATAAAGTCAGTTACTGATGTATATACACAGAAGTAAAACCAAAGAATCGTTTCCTTCAAATAATAATTTCCATATTAAATTTTGTTACGGAATTTTATTTTATACTTTCCTGTTTGCGATTTTCACTTTTTTTTTTTTTTTTTTTTTTTTTTTTTTGCAAAAACAGTCCCGCTCCAGCTTTAAAAGCAGCATCTGTGACCAACATACAGGCCACTGAAGTTTCTGTGCCGCAAGTAAATTCCAGTGAAAGCTCAGGGGGTAAGGAGATGGGGTGACAGGCTTGAGAACCCTTACACAGCGCTTGGTGTTCGCCTTCATTTCAGAGGGTAGCTCTGTTTGTTGATTAAGTGGTCGAATTCGGTTTTTTAATGTTACTGTATTACTATTGATGAAAAAATAAAACTCAGAGACTTAAAGCTTTACTTGTGACTTGCTGTTGACAGGATTTACTGTAATTTTTATGGTGTTCATGTACTTACCTACTTAGGTACATCGAGTGAAAGCATTCCTCAGACTGCCACACAACCAGCCATTTCACCACCACCAAAGCCTACGGTCTCCAGAGTTGTTTCTTCAACACGTCTGGTAAACCCACCACCTAGACCTTCAGGAAATGCAGCAACAAAAATACCTAACCCTATAGTAGGAGTCAAGAGGACATCCTCACCTCATAAAGAAGAGAGTCCTAAGAAAACCAAAACAGAAGAGGTATCTATATATTAGTTAGCCATGGGAATACCAGTCTGCCTATTTTAAAGTCCAATAGAAGAAAATCTTTGTGAGCCAAAATTAAGAAGCAGCAAGGAAGAAAGCATTTAGGAAATGTTCAGGTAGTGCCTTAGGGCCATAGTCTCTCTTCACCCTTCTACTGTCTCAGTGCCTACCTCGTCCATAAAGCTGGGCCTCGTTTAAACTTAGCTTGTCTAGTTTATAGCACAGTTTAGCATGTCATCTCAATTTCTCTTTCTCTCGTAGCTGTATCTTTTACGTGTACTGATTCTTTGATAGCCCCTTTGGACATAGTTCCAGGATCCAAGTGGAGTTTTGGAGTTTCTTATACCATACTTGGTGTTACAGGGTTACTGACTACGAGAGGTTTTCAGGGAATTCTTACTGAATAACTGGCCAAAGTTGCAAAATCAGATTAATTTTGAGACCTTGAATAACTGCTTCCTCCAACCCTTCAGGAAAATTTTCTCACAATACTTTCACTTTTTATAGTGGCCAATTTGCCTTGCCAAAGTCTCAGATAGTTTTAGGGAAGCCGTTAAAAGTGTACGTTGATTTTGGTGTGCGTTTTGAAATATAAAACAGAAGTAAGTAGGCTTGTCACACAATTTCATTGCTCCCTGGTCTCACTCTCCTGTTTTTTTCCAGTTAGTAGGACAGTCACCGTTGTCCCAGAGATGACAGTCCAAAAACTAATTTTATTGTGATTTTTGGTTGAAATTTTGTTACTTAGGAATTTACTCATTTCATCAAAGTTCCTTTAGAATGGGAAAAAAAAATCCGGATTTTTCTCATGAGAGTGTTTTGATCTGTAATAGTGAAATGTTATTGTCACTAATTTGTCAGTATTCTATTCCCTAGCTTATTCTGAAGCCTATTGGTTTAAATTTTTTTTGAATATGGTCCCTATTAACTGAATATGAATAACTTGATGAATTTTGTCACTCTAATGGTCCTGAATTAAGAATGATTATATCATATCACGCTTTACAACTCCTATCCTGAAAACCCATCTGCGTAGTTAATTTTTAAGGCAATGATTTTCAGCCTTGCTTGCATATCAGAATTTTTCAGAGTGATTTTTCCTTCCCTCCTAATAGAGATTTTACAGCCTCCTCCAGATACACTGAATCAGAGACTCCAGAAGTTAGGCCTGGGAATCTTTTATTCAAACCCCCAGTGCCGCATGACTTTGTTGTGCAGCAACCTAAAAGTGTGCTGGTTTTGGTGGAACTGCACATTTGTGTGTCTCTTGATACTTGTTTGGAATTTGGCAGAGCATTGCAGAATTCAGAACTCACATTTCTTTTGATCTTAGTAAAGTACACATAAGGATAACTGGAGATGCCTATTCATTCTGTTTACTTCTGTTAATGGTTTAATCCCTTAATGGCTCCTGAGAGCTCTGACTCATGGAGTACCAGCATAATGTTGGTAGTTTCATTTGCACTTACCTTGGTAGAAAACACTCCTGTTTCCTGTCTAGATACGAAGGCAGTAGGATTGTAGGATTTTTTAACTTACTATGGACAATTTTAAGTCTGTACACAAGTAGAGAGTCATTCCCACTGCAGCTTTGGGAACAGTGGGCTCTGCCAGTCCCTACACCCTTCATTCTGTGGGCCTTTTCCATCTCCCTCTATCTATATTACAGAAATTAAAAATCCAGACATCATATATCATCAGTATTTTTTAAATCCTGTATCTAAAAGATAAGGATTACAAAAAAGAAAGCATAAACAAACTAAACTTATCCTGCTTAGAAAAATCAAGTATCTAGTCAGTGCTCAACTGACCCCGATTGCATCATCATTGATTTTTCTTTTTTTTAAGTCTTTGTTTGTTCCATTCTGTAACTACATAAGATCCCTGTATAGCTATTTATTGATTTCTCTTAAGTATTCTTTAAAACAGACTTCCCTCCCTTTTTTCCCTGCAATTTTTTTTTTTTTTTTTTAATGTTTTCTCAGAGTCTGGGTTTTGTTTATCGCAGCCTCATGGAGTTGACTAACAAAAACAGCTTTATGATATACAAGAGACGTGAGGGTCTGAGGTATCTCATGGGCTGATCTCCTCATTTCCCAGAAGGAGGAGCTTGAGTTTCGGTGGTTTTTCCGTTTATAAGGCTAATTAAAGTCAGTTAGGATTAGAACCCAGGCCTAAATCTCATGGTGCTAAAGGAGAAATTATTATGAATATCATCACTTTGGAGCTCTCCTCAACTGGATCTCTTATTTTCTGTTAATGAGTACTTGGTATTAGAAATTTTAACCAGATAGAAACACTGGTCTTAATTAATCATGTGCTAACATGTATACAGACAGGGAGGTTCAGGGTGGTCAGGAGGTGTACTGCCCCTTGATTTGCATCATAGGCGAAGGCTTTACAGATATGTAAAATAAAAATAGACTAATGTTTGCCCTGGATTGTATGGTTAAGTGATGCTACCTATGTATTTTTAAACTTTTTCTTATGGAAAATTTCAAACATGTACAAAATTTTAATGAACAGTCCTGTTTGTATCACTTAGCTTCCACATTTAACAGCTCACGGCCAGCCTCCTTCATCTACACATCTACTTCCTTTCCCTTGTTATGAAGCAAATCCCAGGCATAGCATTTCAGCCATAAATATTCTGTGTGTATCTAAAGATAAAGATTTCTGAAAACACAACTACAGTATATTATGACCATATGTGTGTGTGTGTACATATCTATATATGTATATGCCAGTATATTTACGAGTATTAGCAATAATTCCATAATGCTACGTATCCAGTCAGGTTTGATATTTGCCTAGTTATGACAAATTACTGTTCTTGAAGTTTGTAATGTTTGCAGGATACAAATAAGATCCTTATTAGAATTTGTTAACTGTTAAATCTCTTCTACTCATAGAAATATGTTTCTATGTCTTGTTATAAAGCTGCATTTAAAATTATAATTATGCCTAGTAAATACAGCAGAGAAATTAGGGTTAAAATAGTTATTCTTAAAGGGATATTAATTGCAAATATGGGGAGGGGAAGTGGAGCCATCTTTGGCCTCCCTTTTCCTTCCTTTATCAAATGAGTTGTTTTTTAATATAACTCTAATAAATTTAAAAATTAAGACTGGGAAGAGAGCATTTCTCAAACCACCTGTTCTTCAGGATGTTACTAAGTTTTACTAAGCAAGGGGGATTCTGTGGTTAATAGCAAGGGGGATTCTGTGGTTAATAAGTTGGGGAAAGTTAAAGAGGTATTCTTTATAGAACTTCTCAGAACCTTTTATAAAAAGTGCTGATATGTATGTGAATTTCCCAGAATGGGGGTGATAGGATTCCAGGTTTCTAAATTGTTACATCAAAGAACTCTTTTTTTTCTCTTCCTTACAAAAAATATTTTATGAACTTAGTGGTTTTAGGAAAGTACTTTAGGTGGTATTGCTTAACAGTAACAGCTTTCTTCATATTCTTTGTTTGGAAGATATTGAAGCCAAATTAAAGTACGTTACATTAAAAATTTTTTTCAAGTGAATGAGTAATCTACTTGAAGGCCATAGTTGATCTTACAGGTTAAATTATTTTATAATTAAAAAAATTTTTTTATCAATTAAAGCATTGATTGGCAGATAATCTAAATTTTTCATTTTAGAGAATAAAGCTTTTTTTTTCAAAAACAGGATGAAACAAGCGAAGATGCTAACTGTCTTGCTTTGAGTGGACATGATAAAACAGAAACAAAGGTATACTAATTTAGCCTTGGAATACATACACAAGAGTATGGAAGATGTGATAGAAATGTCTCTAGAATATTGTATTGTCTTTTTCGTTCTCTAGGTTGTAGGTCGTTTTTAGTATTCTTTTTAGAGAAGTGTTTGTCCCTTTTGAATGTTAATTTATAATGGTGAAATTGAATTTCTCAAATGTTTGAGGTCCTTCTAAATGCAGGGTAATTGGGTGGATACTGAATGGCATAAAATGACAAGTGAGCCATGTTCCATGCCTTTAAAGGAACTTGTAATTAAGTAGAGAAGATAAGAGGTAGAAGCAACTAATTATATTATCAGAGAAGATCAGAGTAATTGAGGCTGCTGGGGTGGTGTGAAGGGCAGGAGCAGTGGGTTGTTATTTCTGACTGAAGAAATATTAAGAGGCTTTGTAGGAAGACCATGTAGTATTTGACGTAGTCCTTGAAGGATATATAGGATTTGGGGCAGTCCAAGAAGAGAAGGTCATCTCACTCTTGGTGCGAACGTATGGTATGTTTTGAGAACCAGTGTTTGGCAGAAGGTTCTGGCAAGAGCCTTTTGGAGTGCATGGGGCCTGAGATGAGGTAGATGAGATGAGAGAGAGTGATTTAGCCAAACCACATTAGACTCCGGACATCATTTTTTCAGAAATTGGAATGTACTGTCGGCTTTTAACTTTTTCTTATTGTAGAAAATTTGGAAATCCTCCTCCTCCCAAATTATTCCCATAATCGACATTTTAGGAAGTATTCTTTTGGGTCTTTATAGATTTTATTTGGGCACACATACTAATGCCTTTTGCTTTCAAATCTTTATTCACTCTGTAAACCAGGAAAAATTGTTCCTTTGATTATATAATTTACAAAATATTAATAGCTATCTTAAGGCCATAACCATATTGTATTCAATCAGTTCCAATTGTTGCAATTATTTCTGTTAAAAAAAAGAGAGTTCTTTCTTACTGTAGTATTGACTGTGGGTAAATACCTGCTGTCCATTTATATTTATTAGACTAAATTAATGAAAAAGGAGTTACTGAGGCAAATAGTATGCTTACTTGTAAAACTCAGTAGATCACTCCAGTTTGTGCTTCAGAAAGCCCGTGCTTCCATTTCTGTTACCTGCATCCTGTTTACCCTCTTTTGTTTCATAAAAGAAAATTCACATTTCATTGTTTTATTACTATATATGTTGTTTTACAGAAATTCAGATTTTTACATGTTTATTTTCATCTGTTTCTGGATATATGTAGTATTTTGTTTTGTGCACAGCTTTAAAAACGTTGAGAGCAGTGGCATGACGTGATTCTCCCTGTATTTTCAGATAATACTTAGAGTAGATCAGTGCATTGATTTTTGAGGAGGGGGAGGAAAAACCAAAAAAAAAAAAAAAAAAGAGGAATATTTTAGGGACTTTTTTTTACTTTTAATCAAAGGTGTGGGAGCAGTTTTTATCCTTTCGAAAAGGTAGTTTTATTTAATAATATTAACCAGGTTTTGTTTTTTTCACATAAGCTAGGGCTTAGAATTCTAGTGTATTAATTATTGTCTGGGCAACATTTCATAATGTGCCTGTGTGTGTCTTTAATTATTATCTGCTCCAAATGTCTAAGTTGGAGGTAGTTGGAAAGTCAGGAGATACTCTGACCGTGCCCATGGAGTTGAAGTAGGCAAATAGAAATATATGTGATGTGACGGGCGAGGCAGCCTGCGGCCAGGCTTGCTACATGATCTTGTGATGTGGTCCCATCTTTCTCTTGATCCTCCTGTCTTCCAAGTTGTCTTCTTTATTAGCCACCAAACCCAGTCATGTTCTTTTATTCTTTTTTTAAGTCTCTTTCCTCCCCCGTCCTCTTTGTCTCACAGGAACAACTTGATACAGAGACAAGTACAACTCAATCAGAAACTATTCACACAGCGGCTTCTCTGTTGGCCTCTCAGGTACTAAGTGCAAAAAGCAAGGAGAGTTTTATAAATGTTAAGATTAGTGTGGTATAATGAATTAAAATGAGCATATACAGAAGACTGTTAAAATTCTCACTGTAACAGTAATTAACTCACTAGCATATCAGTGTGTATCGTAGTTTCAAGGTAGGGCATCAGATTCGATAGAACCGTTGTTTTGCGCTGTCAAGATGCTAACCCATCTCCTTATATGTTACTTGATACTGCAAATTATTTAAATCCTCACTAGTCACAATATGCAGTATTCATATAAAGGTTTTCTCTACAGATCAAAGAGTGAATTTTGAATCATGACAGAACTAAAAAAATTTCTTTGTGCATCTTTTTGTGAGGTTAAAATGATTTTTTCTTTTTAAAATGTGTTTCTGTCTCACATTTTACTCCTGATTTTCAATTATTAATTTAATGTAACCCATAATTCTTTCAAATTATTTATTTGTCCTAGAAATTTTGTGATAGTCCCTTCTTACATACAGTAGGCACCTAGAATCAATTTTTTTGAATACTGATTTGTGAACCTTCGTTTTGTTTGTGAAACAATGGTTTTCTTTTTGAACCCTTTCAGTTTGAGTATACGTGGAATCTAGGGTATACTCTGACACATAGTAAATACTTTCTTTAAGTAGACGTGGAGCTGGTGATGCTCTGCAGCCCCACTGAGATCATTGCTGCTCACGGTGAGGCTGCGGAACTGACGGAGTGATATTTGCTGCTTTGTGGCTCAGAGTTATCTTAATGTGATAATTTTAAGATGTGTTTTTGCTAACTATTAACCCTCATAGCCTCTAAAGGGAGAAATACCATTTTGACTTTCTAGAATGTCTTTTATTTCCATAATTTTTATCTAATAAAAATTTGGGATGGAGGAAGTAACTAAAACAACACGAGGAAATGTGCTTGGCATTGATAACCTGGACAAAGTAGTCTGTCAGGCTTAAGCTCCTGTGATGTGACTGCATGTCTTTTGGCCTGCCACATTACTCTGGGGAACTGTTTTCAAAGTTTGTCTTGTTAAATTCATCCCTATGGTGATGAGTACTCGTGGGTAATTTACCTTTTTATATTTTTATGGGGAGGTAGAACTTAATTTCTAATGGAAAGATTTGTAGAGACATTGAGAGAAAAATGAACCAGTTAATAAAAAGAATGATGATGTAGATTACAAAAAAAAAAAATACCTATATTTGATGATATAAGGGGTATATGTCTTTCCGGGAGATAATTATACTATTGTGGCTGTGTGTAATAAAGAATCCTTACTGTTTTGAGATAACTTGAGATACTTACAAAACATCTCTGGGATTTGCTTCAGAGTAAGCTTGGGAGTGAAGGTGGGGGGACAGTGGATGGTTCTAGTTGGGCCGCTGGCTAAGCTTGGTAATGGCTATATGGGATTCATCATAGAACGTGCTCTACTTGTGTGGATGCTTGGAATTTCCCATAATAAAACATTTAAAAATTTATCTCTCTGTTTTTGAATGTTAAAGAAGGCTTGTGATTTAATTGTTTTTTTAACATGAAGTTTTCCTAAAATTTAGAATAACTAAATTATTGCTGAGTTGTATAGACTTAATTTAATAATGTATAGGGTCAGAAAATAATGTCTTGGTAACTGCTTCTCCAGGGTGTGAGGTGAACTTTAAGTGTTCTCCCACACGGGGGTGCTCCAGCACCAGTTAACTTCACAGCTGTTAGTGTTACTACGAGTAAATACAGTTTAACATGACTTTAATAATTATATGATAGGTCATTCTTAGAGGAGTGTGGCTGTAAAAGCTGTATTTTAAGATTACTTAAGAGTTTTCTGTGTATTGCTAAAATATTCATATTTTATTATCTGAAAATTACAAGTATAGAACAAATAATCTTATAGTCATATTTATTTGCACTTTATTCTTGTTTCTCTTTAAATTTTTAGTACTTCTATGGTAAGGTTTCCATCCATTTCTTAGAGAGTCAAGCAGTGGAACGTAAATCTCATTTTTAAGTTACAGTGCTTTGAACAATGTTGTGTTCTTTGCTTTCGTTCTCAGAAAACATCCAGTACAGACCTTTCTGATATCCCTGCTCTCCCTGCAAATCCTATTCCTGTTATCAAGAATTCAATAAAACTGAGATTGAATCGGTAAAAACAACCTCAGGGGTCCATAAACAATCTCTGCCAACTCAACCTGTTGTCTTCAAATGCTAAAAAAGGAGAATGGAGGGTACAAGACTAGACATGACTGAAAATGGATTTAGGTTTTTTTGGTGACCTCCCTTACTGGGCTAATCAGCACTTGATCGGAAGTCCAGGTTAGTATGTGAAGCCAGGAGTACTATTATTATTGTGTTAGCAACAGTTGCATTAACTATTTCAAAAAATTACTGCCTTTAACAAAAAAACAAAAACAACAGAAAAACCAACCTCAAGCTATATTTGTATCCATAATTTGACATCTGGATTGGGTTTATGTTTGATGCATTGTTTGGAAAATTTGCAATACAAACTGGCATAAGAATTCCTTGTTCAATGATGCACTTTTATGTATTTTTTTATTAGAAAGTAGAACTAATTTTAGATTTTCAGCTTGATGGATTTTCATTTTTTCCTGAAAAATTTCCTTTACCATTAGTCTTCAAATCGGATACCATTGTGCAGTGGCGTACTGTTCTACTTCAGAGAAAGGATAAGAGGACATCTAGTTCAGTCCCAGTGCGGTAGCTGCAACCCTTAACAATGAAATGTCAACTCTAAGGGTGTATATTTGACATTGAAATAATAATTAGGAAATAGTTGGTTTTGATGGGGTCATGATTAAGAAGTGATATATTAGTTTTATTTATAGAATTGTTTAGAGTGTATACAAATCAGCGATCAGCCAGCAAATATTTTTCTTTGAGCTTATTAAGCTCCATATTCTTTTGCCTTCAATCTGTTGTCTTTGAAACAAAGCTCTTTGCTCCTTCCCCCTTTTCTTTTTCCCTATTTGCTTATATGCATAAGATAGAACTTAATTTCATAAGAAACAAAATGCCAGTATTTTCTTAAGCCATGATGTGAAGCCAATGATCCTGTGGCCATGCGGCACAGAGCACTAAATTTCGGTCTCGGGGCTGAAACTTTAGGGTGACTAAAAGAAATGCGAGTGGAACGTGATGCCCTGTCTGGGACGGCCATTCGATCTCTGGACATGCGGAATTTTGTACACTCCACAGAACTCCTCTCTGTAGTAAAGTTGATTTTCAATTTTAAACACGTGGGCAAAAGGCATTTTCTCCAAGAATTTTAAAGTAATTTTTATTTTTAAATGGTTGACCAAAATTTGTCAGTAAATTTTACATGTAGAAACATTTTAAAAATCATTTCTAGCAAGCACTTGGCATCTAGTCAGCTCTCTACTCCTTTTTCATTTTGTTTTATCCGATCAATAGATTAGGAACTCCTTTCTGCAAAGAAAAGAAGTCCTCATAATTAAGCAGTAGAGCATCCATCGTCACGAAGTATGAGGGGTGCTGGATGTTGATAAAGTTAGTTATTCTTTCCTAATCTGGACAAAGCAGACCTAGCATTTTCTGATGAGCATGTTTATGAATCTTCATCGTGCTCCGTCCTATCACATGTGCATTTTCCATGTTAAACTGCAGTTACTTAAACTCTTCCCCATCCTCCTAAATTAATTTTCCAAAGTTGGAGTGTAGTCTTTCCCCTTAGGCTATGCATTAATTGAGGCTTTCTTTTCAACGTACCTTATGATGTCTAGTAGGCAGTGTTTCCGCTTCCCACATCTTCGCTCCGCACACTCACCTTGCCCTTCCTCCCACCACCTAAGAAAAAAAGATGGTCATGCTAACAGGTGAAGTGTACAAGGTGTGTGTGTGTTTTGTGTAGCTTCAGAGTTAGATTGAAATTGCCAGGCGCAGACTTAGTCTTGTCATTCTGTTTACACATTGGGGGAAAAATTCAGTTTATTAAACGTTTCATGTAACTGCACCCAAGTTTTGCCAAGCTGGAAACTTGGACCTTTTCTGTGTAGTGACTTTTTAATTCTAGTTTTCATAACCTGGAGATCAGACTGTTGCTTTCGCATGATGTATGTAGTGTCTCATGACTGGAGTTTGCTTTGTTTTATAGTATCTGTACTCCTTGTATTTTTCAAGAGCTATTTTGTAAACAGATGATGTATTTCTCCATTGAAAACACAATAAAAAAAAAAAACAGCACAATCCCACAGTCGGCTGGTTTCTTTTGACTGACTTTATTTCTCTTGTTTTTCAGTGATAAATCGGTTCTGCTTTAAAGTTTATAGTGTGGCCGTAAGTGAAGATTTGCAAAAGAATTTACTTTGTTTACATTTAGAGACGATGTGCTTCTGGTTCGTTTGTGCTGTTGGTGGCAGCCTAGTATTAACTGATACCTTCCGTGATCACTGTTCTTCATATAAATGATCATTGGGGAGGAAAACGTGAATGTAGTCACTAATAATTCCCTCTCCACCATCCCATTGCCCACAGAACTTATTTTGTGTATGTAGACGCTATGCCTTTTCTGTATATTTGTTTCGTGCATGTAGACGTGTACTGCTTGGTCATTTCCTTTTCAGAACTGTTGGTTTTCAATGCAGTTGGTGATTTATTTCTATGTCAGCAGGTGGCACTGTTGTTTTTCAGTGAATTTAGGATTATAGACCACAAACCGGCTAGGATCTTCTGTTTCTCATTTTACTAAACCCAAATCAGATACTGCTTTTTTTAAACCCCCAAATGCTCAATATTGGATACGAAACTCATGGATTAGGAGAGAACTGCTTTGAATGTTTGTAATGGCCAACTCCTGACTCTGGCGATCTTAAGTGCTTCCAGTGGAGGGATGGACCTTCTGATGTCAAAGCCATTATTCTAATGAACATGCAGTTGTGTTTATTTTTTTCCGAAATTCCAAATCCTGATACCTTTATTATATATAAAACAAGATATGACTGCAACATGGGATGACTTGTCATTAAGCTTTTGGGACTGTTCAGTAAAAGGGAAGATACTGTACAAATTACCCTTGACTCCATTGTTCACATCTACAGAGTTGAACTTGGGGGACTTCCTCTACCTCGATAGACACCTAAACATGGGACTGAATTGCCCACTTTCGGACTTTGATCGCCCACGTGGTCTTTTGGCTTTTTGTGCATCTTGCTGAATTTGTAAAACAATTGGAAGTTGTGTGTTTTGTGGCTCTGGGTATATTCTGGAATAAAGTTTGTATTTTTCTAATTAACACCTGTTTTTTTCTCCACACAGAAAAATGTTTTAGAGCTCTGCGTAGTATTAATTCTGCCTGCACTCAAGGTGGCAATGAATGATCAGCAGCTCCAAGTAGTAATTTATGTAGGAAAGGGTAGATCGTTAACATCCATCAGCTTGTAGACCAGGCCCTGGGAATGCTCACTGTTCGTGCACTTAAATGCATTTAAGCAAAAAGAGAAACTGTTTATCTAAAAAGGTACTGAATAATCCTTTGGCTATACTTTTGCCTATTTTAATTCTGATAAAAGAACAGCACAAGGAAAAGTAATTGCTTTTAGCCTGAATTGTGTGGTTTTTTTTTGTTTTTGTTTTTAATTCTCTGCTTTATTCCTTCACTGTTTTTTTTCCAAACCAGAATCCAAATGGATGCTGTCTTAACTTAGGCCTGAACTTCTTGGTACGTGAGCAATTAAGTGTGTTCTGTAATAAACATGACTTTCAGTCATAGAGCGACAAGTGGTCTGTTTATTTCTGTGTAGTATCTGTTTTTCATATTTGTATAATCAATTTATTCATCCTTTCTCTATACTTACCAGTTTAAACATTCTTGTGACATCTTACGTAGCTTTACTGGCATCAAGAACGATAGCATCAGTATTTCTGAGCCATGTATTTTAGAAGTGGTTGCGTATACTTCATCCTAGAACTGATTTCATATATTTGGGAAGTCATTTCAACTTCTGCTTCTCTTCCTCAGAGACATATTTTTTTCTCCGTGTTCTGTGAACATCATTGTAGCTGATCAGTGATCAATCATACATGGATTTTGCTGAAAGGTTAGAATTTTTTAAGTGCATTTTCTTTCCTCATCTCCCAGTTCACAGGCCTTTCCTCAAAAGGGTAGAATTATGCTATACTCAAGTTCACATCTCATAAAGCTCACATTTGTCTGAAACGTTGTGATTGTAATTACTGTGCTTTTCTTCTGCATTTGCCTTTTTTTTTTTTAATGTTCCACATTTACAGATAGCTAAAAATCATATCTACAAATGGAAGAGTATTGTTTAGATTTTGTACCTTAACCACCAACTGTGTAGAATGTTAACTTTGGGGGCACTTGGGTGGCTTGATGAGTTAAGCTTTCCGCTCAGGTCATGATCCCAGGTCCTGCGATCAGGCCATGCATCAGCTTCCTGCCTGGTGTGGAGTCTGCTTCTCCCTCTGCTGCTGCTGCTCCCCCAGCTTGTGCTCTCTCCCTCTCTCTCAAGTAAAATAAATAAAATAATAAATAAATTAAAAATAAAAAAATAAAATGTTAACTTTGAAAATATACTTTAAGACAGTGCATTTACTTTCCTTCTGTTTTGGAGATCTTTAAATTGCATTAGTAGGATAGGAAATGGATCCTCTTCTGAAATGAAAAGTAGAAGTAGTCTGTTGTGTGTTTTCATCAAAGCTTTATATTTTTGTTGCGATATTTCTAAGGTACAGGATAATCCCTTAAATCAAAAATAGTTTCCTCCAGGCGCCTGGGTGGCTCAGTGGGTTAAAGCTCTGCCTTAGGCTTAGGTCATGATCCCAGGCTCCTGGGATCGGGATCCCCCCCCAAAAAAAAAAATTAGGCTCTCTGCTCAGCAGGGAGCCTGCTTCCCCCTCTCTCTCTGCCAACTTAGGATCGATCTCTGTCTCTCTCTCTCTGTGTCAAATAAATAAATTTTTAAAAATCTTTAAAAAAAAAATTCCTCCTTGCCACCCAGCTTAGAGTTTTTGTTTAAGATATGTTCTTGTTTGTTTTGTACTGGTGACAATGGATTTATGCTACACCCTCCACACTCCCTCTTCCCTAGGTGCCAGAATCCACCAGGGAAAGCCTAAGAGCATGTGGGTTTGGTTTTACATTGTGGAATAATATTATTGTGGAATTACTGTTGTGCAGTGAACGGTGAGGGTGTGGGAGCCCCAGAGCTGATTGACCCTGGGCTCAGACTTGCCACTGATACTTAGTCTTAGCAGTAGAGTGGGTTTCCCGCTTGAGCATGGATCTCATAGCCCTAAGACCAGTGACCTGAGACATGCTACAGCGAAAATACAGTATTTGGAACAGTATAAATTCAGTGACAAATATAATAGTCTTCAGTACATTGTATAAAAATCACTTTACCTGTAGTTGAATATTTTTTCAAACCATTGCATCAATGGATGGAAATAAAACAGAAGGAAAACCATTAAGGTCTAAGTCGCAGGCTGTGTATAATGTCATTAACAGTGACAATGATAACAGACATACCGTGAGTCTCATGCATCTTGATACTTGGAAATACTCAGACTGTGCATTCTGTTTGCACCTAACTGGGATGTTTTTAATTTCATATTAGGTGATTAGGACCTGATTTAAAAAGAAAAAAAAGAAACCTAAGTCTCTTAAAAATACTTTGTAAGCCTTTTAGAAGCATTTCATTTAATTAATTTGTAAGATGCTATTTTCTGATTCAACAGATTTCAGTCTGAAAATATGTACTTTGAATAATTCAAGAATTTTAGTTTTATGGGTTTCTTACAGCTCCTTGCAGACAGTTCTCTCAGTCTTGTGTGTTTTCTAATAATGTCATATAGTCCTAAAATCGTTAAAAAAAATTTTTTTTTAGTATAATATAGTTTTTGCTTTAAGAATTATGGAAATGCAAAACAGCAGTTATTTCTGGGGAGTAAAGTGATCTTGTGCCACTGCTGTTCCCCTCTGAGTTCTCTTATATACACACATATGTGGATATCTGGGTTCTTTTCAAATTTTAGGCATAAGAAAGTAGGTATATGTATTTTACTGTAATAATGCAAAATGTCCCAACTTTGTGCTTGTTCCTTGTGGATGCTGTCTCTCTCTTGGCACAACACCCTCCTTACAAACTTTCACACTGTGTGGTGCCTGGTGCTATGTGATTTCCAGAAATCTGGCATGAGAATTGGTCCTTGTTTGCGTTTTCTGACTGCAGAGGAGCTGTTAATAAAGAGATTGATGATAAAGTTGTTGAAAAGAGACAGTTGGGCAGAACTGCTCCCCATGAGTGACAGAGGGCATGATCTGCCTTCACAGCCAAGAAAGGCGCCCCCAGCAGAGAACCGACCGTGCCTGGACACTGTGCCAAGACTATTAGAAGGGGTTTTACTGCACTATTAGACTACTACATCTCTTTAATTTAGACTTGCTTCCCATTCCCGTCTTTATGCTTAAGTTCGTGGAATGAAGGCTTAGGACGGGACACACACTTCCCAACTGTATAGTAATTGTTCTTGCAGATTCTTAAAAACACTTGTAATTCATCCTAATTTGGCTTAGTAAAATTAAGTTTTATTTAGAAAATAGGACTACAGTTTTTATAGAAAGCCTGCTTTTCTAGATGGCAGCCTCAAAATCTTGAGTTAAGCTTGATAATCTCAAGAAGCAGCATTGGCTGAAGTAAATACTGGTTTACGGGTTGTTTAGTCATAATTACTCTAATTGTGTGTATTTTTTTACCTATCGCTGATAGACGCTTAGGCTGCTGGCATTCAGTTAAGCTGTTCTCTGTGTGGTCTCCTGGATGGTCCCCTAGAATTTTGCCACTCTAACACTGAGTTTAAAGATCGAGATTTTGCCTAAATGTGTTTAACTGTCCTAGGTTATATGAGAATTAGGTTATTGGTCAGTTGTCTTTTAAGGACACTACTATATTATTGTGGTTTTTTATAAAGTGACCCAGATGTGGATACTTTAGTTTCTTGACAATGAAAATTCTTGTGTAATTTTGTAAGTATCATTTTTGCCATCTGCCAAAACTGTTGGGTGGATGTATACATGCCACACACAAACATAAACATGTATTGCACGAGGTGTTTTTTTGTTTTGTTTTGTTTTTTTTAAAGAATTTATTTATTTATTTGACAGATCACAAGTAGTCAGAGAGGCAGGCAGAGAGAGAGAGGAGGAAGCAGGCTCTCCGCAGAGCAGAGCCCGATGTGGGACTTGATCCCAGGACTCTGAGATCATGACCTGAGTCAAAGGCAGAGGCTTAACCCACTGAGCCACCCAGGCGTCCCATTTTTTTTTTTTAAACTTTAAAAATATGTTCATAAGATCTCAAAGTTAGAAGGAACCTAGTGAAGCATCTAGTTCATTATTACCCATGACAGCCTCAACCATTGCCATTGTGGGGGGGGGGGGGGTGGTCCAGATTTCATCATTTCCATTGCTGGGCCCTATTTAAAATGGCAGATTGAGCTCAAGGTGGTTTCCTTCATTCCCAGTAGTCTTACTGTTCCTTTTAGAGGCAAGTTCTGACAGGAAACCTTTGAAACAGATTGCTGAGTTTTCACTGGTGGTTTTTCTTCCCTTCAAGTAGAATCATGTGCTGGCAGGTGTTTTATGACCAGTGCATTATGACTGTGAAGCCAGACTAGACCACAGGACGTTAGCACATCACTCGTTCCATAAACTTTGAATCGTGGTGATCTAACCCTTTGCGTGCATTCTCCAGCAGCTGGACAACTGGAGGGGAATTAGCTCAAACTCCTACCTTTGAGTATATCATAATCAGGACGAGTCTTCCAAGTGGAGTGGTACTTCTGGTAGTAATGGGGCAACTTGTCCTTAGGGTTATATCAGATTCTTCTAGTAGACGTTCTTGAGGTTGACGTTAAGCATGAGCTGACGCTAAGCTGGGAATACACTGATACAGGAATGAAGAGTTTGGATATACACCAGTGATTTACAGTAGCTAAATAAGCTTAAGTAATTTGTCAAAGATCGTGTAATTTTTCTCCAGGTCTGTTTGACTTTAAAGTTTTTTTTTTTTCCCCCTGCCATTCTACATTGTTCTTGACTTACCTTTGATTTAGGAGGAAATAAAAGAGAACATTTGCAGGATCATGGTATAGTGAGCATGTTTCACAAACTATTTTCTGTGGCCAGGTTGGTGGTGGTAGTCCTCGGGACCTCCCAAGAAGTTTTATTGGACAGACTCCCCAGGTTGGTTTCGCAGAGTTGGTTTTGT